GGCACTGACCTACATAGGCCAGATGTTGGGCAGACAGCTGGAGAGTCAGCATACTAGAGCCAAGGGGCGGCCTCCATGAGGAGTGGTGGGGTCATGTTTCCTGTTAGTGCAGCCACAGGAGTGGAGTCAGCTGCCTCTGCGCCCTCCTCCCTCCCTGCTCCTCTGTCCATTCACCTTCCCTCCTCCCTCCTCCCTCCCTCCCTCCCCTCCTTCCCTCCTCCCTCCGTCCCTCCTTTCCTCCCCTCCTTCCTTCCCTCCTCCCTCCCTCCCTCCCCTCCTTCCTTCCCTCCTCCCTCTCTCCCTCCCTCCCTCCCCTCCTTCCTTCCCTCCTCCCTCTCTCCCTCCCTCCCTCCCCTCCTTCCTTCCCTCCTCCCTCTCTCCCTCCCTTCCCTCCTTCCTTCCCTCCTCCCTCCCTCCTTCACTCCCTCCCTTCCTCCCTATGTCCCTCCCTCCCTCCCTTCCCTCCTTCCTTCCCTTCCCTCCTTCCTTCCCTCCTTCCCTCTTCCCTCCCTCCTTCCCTCCCTCCTTCACTTCCTCCCTTCTTTTTCTTTCTCCCTCTCTCCTCTATTTCCCTCCCTCCCTCTTCCTCTTATTTCCTTCCTTCTCCTATATACCTCTTATCCTCTGAGAGTTTTTGCCCATCTACCTTAGACCTGCTGGCCAGAGCACATACTACCACGGGAGAGTTATGGAACGCAGCCTGTTATTTATAATCTTACTCTTAGGATCATCCAACTCAAGAACCCGCTTAAGGGGATCACATACACCTTTTAGCAATGGCCTGACACAGGGGTCTGGAGATCCCTGGACAGCCTCAGATAAATTCCCAAGAAAAGGAGTTCATCTGCATATTTTCAAATTATTATTTCTAATTTTATGAATTATTAAGTGTACATATTCCTGGAGTAGAGTGTGATGTTTCCATACATTGTGTTAGAAGCAAATCAGGTAGTTAGCAAAGCTGTCACCTTACTCATTTCTTTGTGGTAAGCATATTCTTTACCCAGGCAGTGCTGGCTCACACTTACAATCCTAGCTGCTCAGGAGGCTGAAATCTAAGGACTGCAGTTCAAAGCCAGCCTGGGAAGCACACTCTGAGACCCTTATCTTCGGTGGATCACCAGAAAGCTAGAAATAGAGCTGTGGCTCATGGCAGAGTGGTAGCTTTGTGGGGGGGCGGGTGGGGGGGAACCTCAAGGACAGTACCCAGGCCCTGAGTTCAAACCTTAGTACAGGCACCAAAGTAAAAATAAATACACGAAATACATAGAGGATGGTGAAGAGCACAATTTTCGCATAATGGACCCTAGAAACCTCCGTTGTCTGCCCAGAGCCCAAGCCATGTTTGCAGTCACTGCTGACAGTGGCCTTGCGGTACCACTGTCCCACAGCATCTAACCATTTGGCTTGCAGGCGGCTGGGTTGCACCCTCTGACACACAGAGATCCACTGTATCCATGTGCTGTGGAGACCAGGGTGGGGACCCAAATACCCACCCACTTGGGCCCGGCAGAAGCCCGGAGCATCTTGGAGGCCAGTTTGACATCTGGCGTAAGTTATTTCCAAGAGCTCAGCAGGTTTATGGTTCTCTGATCATGTCACAGTGCAGGAGGCTTCCAGGGGCATAGGGAGCTTGTGGGATATTTCAGACACGATCATGGAAAGGAGAAGAGTCCACAGCGGAGCATGTAACCCTAAGCCAGCCATTCTGTTTCCATTTGTGTGGAGTGGTTGAAGGAGCTCAGGGCCGCACCCCGCTGCCTCCCACGTGGCACGCAGGCACCACTAACCCACCAGAGTGCTGAGAGTGCACTCTCAAGCATCTGGGGGGAAATGGCTGCGGCCCCATTTGTGCCTTTTCTTTAGATGGTTCCTTCCGTCTCTTACTCATTTTCGGCCACCCACCAGCATCGTAGAGCCAGGGCTGAGCTTCTGACTTGAGTAATGTTGTGTGTGGTCCACTGAACTGCAAATAATCAAACATAGACTTGGGGAGAATGGCGAGGAGCCTCAGGAATAACCCTCGACACTGTTTTCCACACGCTTAAGTTCCCTGAGCTGTATATACCCAGTGCGGTGTTCTTCACATGGACTCATTTTTTTTATTTAAATTACTCTTAAAGAGAGACTTGGCTATCTACCGTAAATGGGTATTACTTGCTAGGAATAGAAGGAAATAAAATTCAAAGAAAAGGAAAATCACATTCCTCACAACTAATATGGCCTCTCCTGGGAGTATCCTTAAAAAGAATCCAAGAAACACAAGCTCCTATCTGGCCCAGCCTCCAAATATTACCACATGCTCCTGTGACCAGCGCATCAGCTGAGTCCTTGGCCAGCCTGGAAACCCCACCCAATGGGGCTGCAAGGCCGGGTGAGGCGGGAAGCCACTCAGCGACTCACAAATGGGATGGGTGGGGTGAAGTCGCCTGGTCCTCGTGTGTTCACGATGAGCACCCGGCAGGGCCAGGGTGGTCAGGGTGCTTCTGACGCCGAGCAGCAGCTTCTTCCCTCAGTGGTGCCTGCAGCAGAGGCCCGCTCGGGGGTCTCGGGCGGCACAAACCCTGCGGACATGGCCAGGCATGCCAGCGAAGGGTCTTGGCAGCCAGCTGCAGGGCCAGTAACAGCTCATCTCAAGGTCTGGGGGCCTTGAGAAGTGGCCTGGCTGCTCCTGGCTACCATTTAGCTCATTTTGGATCAGCCTCTCTTGTACTCTCCAAGGCATTTCAGCTTGATTCTGACTCCAGTCTTGGTCGGTGGCTGTTGTCCCCTGGCCCCTCCAGGCAGTAAAAGACTCAAGCACAGTGGCCTGGGCTCGGGCCTGCCGAGGGAGGTAAGGATTGTGCAACATTTAGAAACCATTTTCTCTGGAGCTCCAGCCATAGCAGATTCTATTCAGCATGTATTCTATTTCCAAAGAGTTAGAATAGCCTGTAAGGTAGAAAGAACTAGCATTCCTTAGGCTATTTCTCAGAAAACACAGAAGGTGTAAGAAGCCAAGGCCTTCTCCTGACTCACACAGGAAGCTCGGCACCACATCCCATCTGCTGACCACAGCTTGTTCCAAGCCTGAGAGAGACAGCACCCTGCCACCCCGACACTGAGCTTCCCTGTGCCATCAATCTATACCCAGTTGGGCTGGGAAGGTGGCTCAGTGGTAGAGCACTTGCCTTGCATGCCTGAGGCCCTGGGTTCGTTTCTCAGCACAACATAAGCAAAAAGAAAAAAGCCGGAAGTGTTGCTGTGGCTCAAGTGGTAGAGCACTAGCCTTGAGCTGAAGAGCTGAGGGACAGCGCCCAGGCCCAGAGTTCAGGCCCCACGACTGCACCCAAAAATTAAAAAAAAAAATCTATACCCAGAAAAGAAAAGAAAGTGCCCCAGTAACCCTGTCTTACAGTACTCCTAGGGAGTGACAGCCTTTTTTGACTTGGGACAGTTGGCCTTTGCACTGAAGTTTGAATGTTAGTATCTTAATATCTTCCTGAGCAAGTGACAATACTCCAGCCCTCTATTGTGGCGTGCAGCTCCCTGTCAGCTCTGCGATCATGAGCGAACCAACATGCTCTGTGGCGCATTATGTTGCTGAATGGAAAGCTGGATAGGTTCGGTGGAGTAAATGCATTTGGTGGAGTCTGCTTAGGATATTTTCAACTTGGAGGAGTTTATGAGGACAAACCCCATTGTAAGTCAAGAGACAGTGTTAAAGCATCTGAAAATGCAAGAAAACATGAAGGACAGATTTTTTTAAGTCCTCCATATTCCTATCAACCCAGAGTAAGCAAGAGTAAATACACAAGCATGCAAGTAAACATAAATACATGTGTGTACAGACACAGGGACAGGCCTGTATGCACATAGCACACATACACACAGACATAAACAAATACAGATACGCACAATTTATGCCATGCAGTTGATCCTTGTTTTCATCGACACTCTATTTGTAGGTGTATATACTTGTTGAGACCTGTCACCTGAGTTGGTGCCCTCCGCACTTTGGTGGGTGTTTTAACCATGGGAGCCTGCGGTCACCCACAGTTAAGGGGGGCAGCATGACATTTGGCCTTGACTCAGCTCTTATCCTCGAAGCAGGTGCCCTTTCCCAGCTCTGTGCGGGGCCACACTTCCTCGCGCCTGAGGCCATGTAAGTCCTGCAAGGGGTATTATATACACTAAGGAAGAAGAAGCTAAGGTTCAGAGACAGTAAGTAACTTGTCAAGCTAGTCACTGGCAGAGCTGACAGTCAAACCCAAGTCTTTCTTTCAACCTGTGTTCTCCAACAGTGCCAGGGACAAAAGACTTCCTCCCTCCCTTCCTTCCTTCGTTCCTTTCTCCTTTCCTCCCTTCTTCCCTTCCTCCTTCCCTTCCTTTGTCTTGTTCCCTTCCTTCGCTCCTTTCTTTTTTCCTGGTTTTAGGTGTCTCATGCTCTCTTTCTACTTGCTTTGCTGATAGGTGGTGGTCTGCCATTTGAGGATTGCCTACAGCCTGCTTTTTCCCAGTTATTGGGGAGGGAGTCTCACAGCTTTTCTACCCAGGATGGCTTCAAATTATGATTTTCCAGATCTCAGCCTTCTAAGTAGCTAGGATTAAAGGCTTAAAGACCCCTTTCTTAACTCCATTTTGTATATAGCAGAATACAACAAATGAATAATTGATAAAGAATGTAGATTTATTTCTTATAGTTCTAGAAGGTGGGAAATCTAAGATCAAAGGGCTTGCGTCATATAAGATCCTTTTGGTTACATAATCCTGAGCAAGGAACTAGAGGCGTGGTTCAAGTGATAGAGCACCAACTGTAAGCATTATCCATAGCACAAAGCAGACATGGCAGCAGGAGAGAAGATGAACAAGCAAATCCAATGACATGTTCCTCAGATAGTATTAAATCCATTCGTGGATCTCTAGATCTGATTACCTGATCACCTTTTGAGGATCTCCCCACATTCAACGCATAACAAACCCCTTGGCATTAATACCTGTCTCCTCGGTCTCTCCTGCAGGTCTATATCATCCGGGTCACATGGTCCAGTGGCTCCACGGAAGCCATTTACAGGCGCTATAGCAAGTTCTTTGACTTGCAGGTAAGGATTTGGGGTCTCTCATAAGCTTCCAGGTGGGAACGAGTTAAGTTTCAGAGTTGCTCTCCACTATCATAGTGAGTCTGGACCTTTTTTTATGTCCTAGACTTAAAAATGATGTCCCTTACTTTGGAAATAATACTGAATAATAATAAATAATGCTCTTTGTTTCTTTATGTTTTTGTAGTCAGTATTTTCCAAATAAGGGGAAAGTCCTCCCCCAAAATGGAGGGAGATCTGGAAGATGCTTCTGTATGGCCTTGGCATGCAACTTAGATGATTTTGTGCATTTGTTTTTGTTTTTGTTTTGTGCCAGTCCTGGGGCTTGAACTCAGGGCCTGGGCACTATCTCTGATCTTTTATACTCAAGATTAGTGCTCTATCACTTGAGCCACAGCTCTACTTCTGGCTTTTTGGTACTAAATTGGAGGTAAGAGTCTCATGGGTTTTCCTGCTTGGGCTACCATGACCCTCAGATCTTAGCCTCCTGAGTAGCTAGGATTACAGGTGTGAGCCACAGTGTGTTTTAGGCAGTAGTTGTGTTTGCTGGTGAGCCTCCTCACTGGCTCCTTTTCCTATCAGTATTCTCAGTCTCTCTGACTTGTTCTCTGACTAGCAAGGGGCACCTGATCTGTATCCCTGCAGCTGTGTGTGATTCTCTCTAGTGAAGTGTCTTCCCCAAGACTGCTATGGTTTGGATCTGCCCAAGACTGATACTAAAAGCTTGGTCACTAGCCTGTGGCACTGTCTGGCCTAGTTAGAGGAAGTTAGGTCACAGGATGTGACATTGGAGAGGATATGGAACCCACCCCCACAGTCCTTCCTCTTACTGCTTCCTGGCCACCATAAGCTAAGCAGGCGTGTGCCATCATACCCTACCTCCCTGCCATAATGCTCTCCCTCACCACAGGCCCCGAAACAGAGGAGCCAGGTTGACCATGATTCAAAATCTCTGACACTATGAGCTAAAATGAGCTTCTTCTCCACCAGATCACAGCCTCGATTATCTCTGGTATCTTGTCACACTGATGGGAAATTAACACAAAGGCTGAAGTACACAGTGCACGTCCAGTCAGTGTTCAGTGAATGAATGAACACTGCTGGTATCAGAGAGAAGAGTGTCAGCACAGTCACATGGGGGTAAAATAGCAGCTTCATCTCAAGAAGCAGCTCAGAGCAGTATGAAGAGTCAAGGTCCCTGAACATATGCAGGACAACGCTCCTTAGGAAGTGTCTGCCTCAGAGACAAGAGGAACACGCTCAGTTTTCTTAAGTGTTCCCCAAGGGTCCATGCCACCTCTCAGGCCCCTACCGGTCTGTCTTGAGACAGACATCTCCTTCGATCTGTGTATCAGTCTGGTCACTTTTGTTGGGAGTGACCAAATCAACTCAGACTTGCTTCAGTACATAGGGAGCTGGTGTAACTGAATGTGAAGGTTTTCAGGTCACCTGACCTTACTTCTATATCAGTGCTTCTGCGATGTTGGCTTTACCCTCGGATCCCACATGATTATAAAAAAGGGTTTTGACAACTCTGGGCTCACTCGTCACAGAAAAGAGTAATACTTCTCAGAGTTACAGAAAGCACGTTGTGTGTCACAGACTCATCTCTGGCAGTTTGGCAGGCTTTCCTTGTCTGTGTTCTATCCCTAGCCTCAAAGGTGGACTGAGGTAGGGAGAGAAGTTGACAAGTTTTTTTTGTTTTGTTTTGTTGCCCCTCCTGGGGCTTGAACTCAGGGCCTAGGCACTGACTCAGAGCTTCTTTTACTCAAGGCTAGCACTGAGCCACATTCCCAGCTCCACTTGGCAGGTTCTAACAGAGACCTGGGTGATGTTGACCACAGGTTGGGTGTGTAGGCACAGTCTTCTGAAACTGACAAATAAAAACCTTGTAAGGGCCCATATTCCATTGTGGCAGATGGAGAGATAATAACGTGCTCCTAGACATTTTTTGCAGTGTTTTTGAAACATTGTCAAATGCCTATGACAGACTTATTGCATAAGCAGGTGAGATAGCAACTGCCTAATTATTTAACGTATAATAAACTCGTTTGTGGCATTTGGTGTTCAACAGCATGCACTCAAGTAAATGGCATCACATACAGATGAACATTTCTGATGATATGCTACAAATGTGAACTGAGTATAAATGAATAAAGAACCTAGATGCACAGGGTGCTCAGGAGCTGGGAACAGAGTGCTGCTACTCAGTGTAGAGAGCTCACCTACGCTGCACAAGGGCCTGGGTTCAATCACCAGCACTAAAAGGCAGAAATTGCTGATGAGTCAAGGAATTAGTAAAGATGCTAAGCTACCATCTAAAATGGAGATGGCAGGGAGAAACAGTGTGGCTAGGGAAGAGGCAAACTCTCGAGGAAGGGAAGGGACGTTGCCCACTGTAATGCCCGGAGTCCTCTAGATCCCTGAGCAAGAGCCCTTGTCCCATGTGAGAATGACCAGCAGTACCAGGGCCACCCTAGCCCCAGACCCAGACCAGGGTCAAGATGCACATGCCTTACAGCAGGTCTTCAGATTCTGGAGACATGTTAGATAACCACGATTGGTGGTTGGCTAACCCAGTGTTCTAGGCAATGAGCATAATCATAGGGAGGGCTGCCTTAGTTGAATGTGTACAGGCCTTTTGCCTGACACCTCCAAGAAGGAGCCGCAGCTTGATGTCACATCTGTTTCTGAGCCTGGGTTTCTCCATCTGAATATCAGGAAAGAGTTAAATCAGGTACTCTGGATTCAGTGTATCGGCTGTCACTTGCACTTCACAGGTGTGGCTCAACCCCCCCCCCCCCCCCCCCCCCGTGACATCCTTTGGCAATACTTTTATTTGACCACATCTTCTTGACCCAAAGCCAACTCCCTCTACTCTCCTGTTCTGAGTCACTTTATTTCTACCAGAATTTTTTTTTTTTTTGGGTCCGGTCGTGGGGCCCGAACTCTGGGCCTGGGCATTGTCCCTCAGCTCTTCAGCCCAAGGCTAGCGCTCTACCACTTGAGCCACAGTGTCACTTCCGGCTTTTTTTCTTTTTGCTTATGTGGTGCTAAGGAATAGAACCCAGGGCCCCATGCATGCAAGGCAAGCGCTCTACCACTGAGCCACCTTCCCAGCCCCTCTACCAGAATTTAAAAGTAAGGTTTTCTTCCCAGCTCAGCGTAACTGGCAGCAATCAAGTGTTTGCTGCAACACAATTGGCTGCCTCTGGTGTCTGTCCCATGATGACATTGTCAAAGGCAGGACTCTGGCCAGCTTTCAAGAGGCCCAGCTGGGTGTGCAGAGAGGAGAAGTTATGGGATCTCACAGGGTCCAGCTCATGCTGGGAAAGGCTCTTCCTTCCCCAAATCCACCCAGCAGGCAACTAGAGAAAGTGAGGCAGGGCTGCTCTTGCCCAGCTGTTCCAAGGCCAGGTCAGGAAGCCAGCCAGTAGGAATATAGTGCCCTGATACCATCTGGCTCTGTGATCCCACAGCCCCCCCTCCCCCAATCTGGTTTGTAGCCTTTTTTTGACCCTGAAGTCACTGGCTTGCAGAGCGTAGAGAAAACCAAGACTTGCTTGGTGGAGGAGCAGCTTAGCCAGTGTGGGGCCTCTCGCAGGAGGTCTGGGAGTGGGCTGCCCCTCCTGATGTGTGGCCTAGGCGCACCCTAAACCCCTTGGCAGAGCCATCACTGACACAGGAGAGGACGTAGAACTAACTAGCCAGCCCTTCTGAAGCACTGAATGGAGGCCTCATCCTCTAAATGTGCAGATGGGTAACTCATTTAACCCTTACAGCAAACTGACCAAGTCACAGGGGTAAAGAGACTTAGGCCAAGAGAGGTTCACTCGTTTACCTGCAGTGACCAGCGTGTGCGGGTCAGAGCTCGTGGACAGCGCCAGCATCTGTGCACCACGGTGCTCGCCATGGCCTTGCTCTCTAGCTGCTATTTCACAAGGTTGCCAGGGTTAGAGCTGATGATCCAAAAGAGGCAAATCCACAGAGACAAACGGGTGAGTAGCTGCCAAGGCTGAGGGAGGGGACAATGGAGGGCTCTTGATGTTTTGGGGGTGATGGAAATATCCTAGAATTAGACTGTCGCTATGATTGCACGTGAACAATGTGAATATTGTAAAAACCTCTGGATTGTAGGTTGCAAGTGGGTAAAATTACTGGTATATGAGGTAAATCCTGATTCTTTTTTTTCTGAGAAGAGGGGACCTGGGCTGTCAGACCCGAGTGGATGCCAGCAGCTTGGATTGCTGATGAGTGTGTGGCCCGGGGGCTGCCTGGAGCTGGCATAAAGGCCAAAGGAGGATGTGGCACCGGTTTAGGAAGGTCCTGGGCTTTGGAATCAGACAGCTGGGATTTGATCCAAGTCTTGTCATTTACTGGCCATGATATCTTGTTTTTTAGGTACAGATGACAGAAGCGCAGTCAAGATGGTATTTATTTGAAAAACACCTTCACTGTCTAAATGTGCCTGAGGAGGTCACAGGTCTTTGGCTTTGGATGTGACTGGGCCCAGGAGCCCCACATAGAAGACCTGGTTTTCTCCACTCTGTGTAGATGGCTGTGGCAGCAGTTACAGCACCAGGCTGCATCCAGCACACTAGTATAGGACTTCAGAAAAAAATAACTGAACCTCAGAGTGTTAGGCAACAGTACTGTCAACTCATGTTGTGTCATTAGCCAGGCTGCTTAAAGCCAAAGGACAATAAATACGGTTCGCTTCCTGTGGGTGTGTCTGGACACGAGTGGTCGGTCCCCAGACCACTTCCTAGAAGTCCCTGTGGGTGACAGAAAACCGTAAGAGCGCCCACTGGTTGGGCAGTATATCTAGGCAGAGGAAACAGTCTTCATAGAGGCCCTTTGAAGGAGATGGGGCATGGCCCAAGCTGCCATGGAGGAGGAGATATTCATTCAATAGCAAATTGATCCCCGCAATGAGGATCACCTCTGACTTTCTGTTCTGACTTACTTGTCCTTGGATAGTTGTTCACGCTGGGACATAAGGGTGAGCTAGAGCCCTGGCTTAGAAAAGGGACCTAAGTTGCACCAGTGGCTCACACCTGTAATCTTAGCCACCCAAGAGTCTGAGATTTAGGATTGCAGTTTGAAGCCAGTCCTGGCAGGAAAGTCTGGGATGGTCTTATCTGCAGTTAGCCACCAAAACGCTGGAAGCAGAGCTGTGGCTCAAATAGTAGAGCTTTAAACTTGAGTGAAAAAGCTAAGAGATGGCGTCCAGTCACTGAGTTCAGTTTCCATGACTGGCATGCATGCGTAGGCACACACACCACACAAACAATAGGAACCTAATGTGAAGCCCCCTCCTTTATTACAGAGGCCAGGCAGATCCCTGCCCCGGCAGTCACTCAGTCTGATTGAGCTACCTTTCCTGCCTTAGGCTTAGACTGCACTGGAGAGTCTATGGGAAAGTGTCAGAGGAGCTAGCAGGACACTGGAAGTGACTAGAATGCCCACAGAGCTGAAAGCAACACATCATGGAAAATTGCTTTCATGTGTAGTAAGAATATCAGCAAGCATTTTGCCAAATAATCAGCCATTAAATGTGCCAAGCACTTGATTTAAATGCCATTTCTTTTAGTCCTTATTTATCAAGCATGTGGTCAGTATTATGTCCACTTCACAGACAGGAACTTGAAGTTCCAAGAGATAGTCGCATACCCAGAAGGCAGGGGCAAGATGGGAGGTGCGGCTAAGTGTGAAAGCTATACTCCCACCCTACCACCTCTCTGCTCAGTTTGCCTTTCGATTAGCCCATGCAGAAGTGTGCCTATCCTCCTTGAGGCCTGGCAACACTGGCCTCTTCCTAAGGCCATTTGTTTCCTACCAAGAGGCAGCAGAGTCTGTCCTGCAGAAGGCAAGTTTCCAAACAGGCCTCAGACCTATGAGGATCCCCTTTATATTGTGTCGTTACTCAACAGCCAGAGCATCTTGTATCTTGTGTCTCTGGTGGGCATGAAGGTTGTTTAGTGGCTCTTGACACTCACACTAGCACTCTAGCAGGAAGAGAAGCCAATGCTTGGAGTGTGGCTAGTCCCCAAGGCAGCAGAAAATGAAGAACAGTGAGCCTTGTGCCAGTCATGCGTGCACATGTCACTGGGAACAGGCCCACGTCACAGGGTGCTCAGAAGCACCAGAAATGTGCTTACCACACCCATGTTGTAACCTATGAAGTTAATGTCACAACTTGTTATCATGTGGCAGCCTTCGAGATGAGACCCTGAAAGGTTTTGCTGCTCCCTCAGAACCATAGAGGGTAAGCAGCAGGTGCTTGTGGGTTTGAGCACTGACTTCACATTGCTTCCTTATTATGTAAGAGCTGCATTTATGGTGCCCCCATTATTCCCCTACTTCTGACCAACCTACTTTCCTTCTCTGGTCCCTTCTGCAGCATCTTGTAATCATCAGTCTGTGTTTCAGACTCTTCTTGGGGCGATGAGCCTTTTCATGGCCAAGCCCTTGCGTCCAGTACAGAGCCAGTTACCCATCGGTCTACAGAACAAACCTACAGCCTTCTGAGTCGATTATGGGAGTGGATTATGATATGGTGGCATCGACTTAATCGGATGAGAAGAGTCTTGGTGGTTTGTTTCTAAGCATGCCTGTCAATTCTCAGCAAACAGGATGACCTGCCAGTCATAGTAGTCCTAAGCCTGTTGCTCACATCTCAAGTCCCATATCCAAAACCTCCAGGAAACTAGGAACGATCTCTTGCAACTCAGCCATCTCAGTCTGGGAGATACAAATGTAAAGAATCCATAGGTATCCGAGAGACAGCTGGTATCTCCTTCCTTATCACTTCAAGTAAAAGTTCTGAAGAGCTGGGTTAAGTGAACCTTTTACATATCCATCTCCTTAATTCATATAAGTCTTTTAACTGTCAGCAATACATTCCTATTCTGAGAGCTTCTTGTATGTTGTGTTCTTCCGCCTTAGATGCAGATGTTGGACAAATTTCCCATGGAAGGGGGACAGAAGGACCCCAAGCAGCGGATCATACCCTTTCTGCCAGGTGAGCGCAGTGTGCACAGTCGGACTGGGGCTCCGGGACTTCGGAACGGCTCCCAGATCTGCAGAACAGGCTTGGCTTTGAGTGCATCCTCCCCTCCCTCCCTCCCTCCCTCCCTCCCTCCCCTCATTCCCTCCCTCCCTCCCCTCCTTCCCTCCCTCCTCTCCTCCCCTCCTCCCCTCCCTCCCTCCCTCCCTCCCCTCATTCCCTCCCTCCCTCCCTCCCTTCCCTCCCTCCCCTCCTCCCCTCCTTCCCTCCCTCCCTCCCTCCCCTCCTTCCCTCCCTCCCCTCCCCTCCCCTCCCTCCCTCCCTCCCTCTCTCCCCTCCTTCCCTCCCTCCCTCCCCTCCTTCCCTCCCTCCCTCCCTCCCCTCCTCCCCTCCCTCCCTCCCTCCCTCCTCCCCTCCCTCCCTCCCTCCCTCCCTCCCTCCCTTCCTCCTTCCCTCCCTTCCTCCCGTCGTGGGGCTTGAACTCTGGGCCTGGGCGCTGTCCCTCAGCTCAAGGCCAGCGCTCTACCGCTTGAGCCACAGCGCCACTTCCGGTTTTGCACTGGTTCATTGGAGATCAGAGTCTCTCGGGCTCTCCTGCCCGGGCTGGCTTTGAACGCATCCGCAGATCTCGGCCTCCCGAGCAGCTGGGGTGGCGGCGTGGCCCGGGCCGGCTCTCGTGCTGTTTTTACACACGCAGCACTCGGACAGCATTCTAAACCACGGTATTTGCAGCTGAAAGCGCTGTGTAGGTGTTTTCTCTTCTCAGACTAGAGAACCGTCTCAGATCATACCAGGCCCCGGAGCCCTCTCCAGTACGGGCCGCAGCACCCTCGGGCAGCTTTAGCGGTGGCCGAATGGGTGAATCCTTTAAGAGCTCACATTTTCAGTATCTCCTTGGAAAAGCAATGTTTTTCCTGCCAGAGGAGGCCCCACATGCGCGCTTCGGTGGCTGTGCGGGTGAGGGCCGCGGAGCGCGCGCTTCAGTGGCTGTGCGGGTGAGGGCCGCGGAGCGCGCGCTTCGGTGGCTGCGCGTGAGGGCCGCGGAGCATGCGCGCTTCAGTGGCTGCGCGTGAGGGCCGCGGAGCGTGCGCTTCAGTTGCTGCGCGTGAGGGCCGCGGAGCGCGCGCGCTTCGGTGGCTGCGCGTGAGGGCCGCGGAGCGCGCGCGCTTCAGTGGCTGCGGGTGAGGGCCACGGAGCATGCGCACTTCGGTGGCTGCGGGTGAGGGCGGCGGAGCATGCGTGCTTCAGTGGCTGTGCGGGTGAGGGCCGCGGAGCGCGCGCGCTTCAGTGGCTGAGCGGGTGAGGGCTGCGGAGCGCGCGCTTCAGTGGCTGAGCGGGTGAGGGCCGCGGAGCGCGCGCGCTTCGGTGGCTGTGCGGGTGAGGGCCGCGGAGCGCGCGCTTCGGTGGCTGAGCGGGTGAGGGCCGCGGAGCGTGCGCGCTTCAGTGGCTGAGCGGGTGAGGGCCGCGGAGCGCGCGCTTCAGTGGCTGTGCGGGTGAGGGCCGCGGAGTGCGCGCTTCGGTGGCTGAGCGGGTGAGGGCCGCGGAGCGCGCGCTTCGGTGGCTGAGCGGGTGAGGGCCGCGGAGCATGCGCGCTTCAGTGGCTGAGCGGGTGAGGGCCGCGGAGCGCGCGCTTCAGTGGCTGTGCGGGTGAGGGCCGCGGAGCGCGCGCTTCAGTGGCTGTGCGGGTGAGGGCCGCGGAGCGCGCGCTTCGGTGGCTGAGCGCGTGAGGGCCGCGGAGCGCGCGCTTCGGTGGCTGCGGGTGAGGGCCGCGGAGCGCGCGCTTCGGTGGCTGAGCGGGTGAGGGCCGCGGAGCGTGCGCGCTTCAGTGGCTGCGGGTGAGGGCCGCGGAGCGCGCGCTTCGGTGGCTGTGCGGGTGAGGGCCGCGGAGCGTGCGCTTCAGTGGCTGTGCGGGTGAGGGCCGCGGAGCGCGCGCGCTTCAGTAGCTGAGCGGGTGAGGGCCGCGGAGCGCGCGCTTCGGTGGCTGCGCGTGAGGGCCGCGGAGCGCGCGCTTCAGTGGCTGCGGGTGAGGGCCGCGGAGCGCGCGCTTCGGTGGCTGTGCGGGTGAGGGCCGCGGAGCGCGCGCGCTTCGGTGGCTGCGCGTGAGGGCCGCGGAGCGTGCGCTTTGCAGTCACACGTTCAGCGGTGCCGTGTGCCCCTTCTGCAGCTCGGTTTGTACATCTGTGAAATGGGCCGTGACTGCTGGTTCACAAGGTCTAACCCCCGGCTGAGTAGATTCTCAGCAGAGGCAGCATCTGGGCTCCTGGGAAGCCTCGGGGGCCCTTCTTCGTCTCCATGTTGGAGCCATCCCTACAGGATGAAGAACGTAAGCGATCCTCAGGTTAACCTGGCTCTCTGTAGAACTCTATGGTTTGCTCTTGTTGGAAGAAAAGAGAACAGGAGGTTACAGCGCTTTTTCTGGAGGGAAGGCAATCCAGCCCTGGAAAACCTTCCCAGGACAGAACTTGAGCCGACCCCCCCCCCCCCCAGACGCTGAGAGCCTTTGTGGTTACGTCATGGTTTCCCACCCGTAATTAATGAAGATGCTGTTCTGGGGACTTGGCGCTTTGTCCCTGCTCGGGGCGCGCTCAGAGCTGGCAGGGACCCTTGCACTGTCCGAGCCTTTCCGAGTCCACCTCGGCTCCTTCCCTGGGCAGAGGGCAGGAAGCAGGTCCCTTCTCCCTCATCTGTCTCTCTCCAGCAGGACAAAGGCTAGTCTTATGTCAGCCCAGGCCGGAGGAGGGGATCCGCCCATATAACTTTCCATCCCAGCAGGAGCTGAGGAGGCCAACTTGGCAGGGGCTAAGGCTAGAAAAATAAGAACTACAGTTTGGCCTTCTTCCACAGTGGAAAACAAAAGTCAGCCCCTTCCCACCATGGCTGCTCTCTCCTCTGAACACCCTTTCTTTGCCAGGATGGCGGCAGGCTTGCCCTCTTTCTTTTTTTTTAATAAGTTTTCTATTGTGAGAATACTGTTCAGAGGAGGGGTTACAGTTCATGAGCAAGGTAATGAGTACATTTCTTATCAAGCATTGTTGTCTCCTCCTTTGTTTTTCCCCTACCATCCCTGCCCTCCCATCTCCACGATTACACTCTCCCCACCCCCTGCCTAAATTGTAAAGTTCATTTTTCAACATAGCATCTTGTACATCTCATTGTTGCTATGGGCCCAACTGGATCCCTATTTAAACAATTTGTTTTTTCCCTTCCCCTCCCCAAATTTTACCAATATCAAATACAGTGAAAATAGGAGTTATGCCATGGGGGAGGGACATACAAAGCAACAAAAAAAATCATGTGGTACCTTATAAATACATTAGAAATAATAGCAAGAAAGAAAAAAACCACTTGTGTCCTTATCTTGGGGTTCATTTTGCTTAGCATCATCTCATCTGACCTTTTCTGCTTGTCTCAGACATATACTAGTTATTGCAGATAAGGAAACCATGGGACCTGTGTTTCTTTCTTAAGACTCAAATAGAAGCAAACACCAGGGCCACTGCTCACACGCACTCCACACTTCTCCGCTGAACACAGCTCAGCCCTGCTGGAGAGGGCAGGAAACCGTCTGGAGGCTGAGCTTTAGGAGTGCGGGGAAGGAATTCCTGTGCTCTTTTTTGTTGTTTTGTTTTTAATTTTTAAATTGTTATTTAAAAGGTGGTATACAGAGGAGTTACAGTTACTAACTACCCAAGATGCCAGCAGAACCCTTCCATGCCAGAGACTCCCAGCACTAACAGGGAGGTGCCCACCGCAGCTGTGTCCACTGATGGAGAGAAGAAAAGTCTATGATCAGAAGGGTCTCTGATCGTTACCTCTGGGGAAAAACAGGCTATGAGCACATACTGTTTCCCATACCATTTGTGAGCCTTTCTCATTCTAAATGGCATGTTGTTCTGATTCTAGAGGCAAAAACTGTTGATAGTGGACACTTTAAAGAAAAGTGAAGAAGAAAGTAAAAGTTCCCTGTCTTCTATCCCTCAGAAGACAAATACTTTGAATCCTATGAAGCATTGTCTTCTGGGTTTTTCTTTCCCAACAAGCATAAGTGAATCTAAAAGGCAAAGAGCTTAGATATCTGGGAGAACCTGAGATGGAAGAAGGTGATTGAAGAAGGGGGAAGGAAAGAGACTGAGCTGTTGGGTGAGGGCAGATCTGAGCACTCAGTCCGAGCCCAAGTGCTGGACGGGGCTCAGACCACCAGGTCTCTTCTCCTTTCGCCAGGTAGCGACCCTTCCTTCTGCAGGCCACTTTCAGCATCCCATGCCACATCAGACTCCCTCACTGAAAGCTGAGCATGGGACAAGTGCTCTATGTTTTCATCTATAGCTAAGAGGTTGACCGCACGTGAGGCAGAGAATGGTGGTCACCAGGGCTCGGAAGGGAGAAGAGTGGGAGGATGGGTCACAAGTAGGAGGTACAGCTAATAGAGAGGATTTTGAATGTTCCAAGCACAAGGAAATAAGAGTCTGTGGGCAAGCCAGCCACCCTGATCTGATTTTTCAATCACATAAATTAAAATGTCACATGATACTTTCCCAAAGTGTACAGGTATGTGTGAATTAAACATAGGTTTTGAACTTTCTGGTGCCGCTTAGGTCTATCCCAAGAGAACCAGTCCACAGCCTCCCCAGTTTCTGCTGCCAGCGATCTTATCCTCATTGCCTGCTCTCATCCGCAGGTAAAATCCTCTTTCGACGGAGCCATATCCGGGATGTGGCAGTCAAACGCCTGATACCGATTGATGAATACTGTAAGGTAAGGTACACTTTAAGATAAGGATGGAGGGGCTGGGAAGCTCAGTGGTAGAGTGCTTGCCTTGCATGCCTGAGGCCCTGGGTTTGATTCCTCAGCACCACATAAGCAAAAAGAAAAAAGCCAGAAGTGGCGCTGTGGCTCAAGTGGTAGAGCGCTAGCCTTGAGCTGAAGAGCTGAGGGACAGCCCCCAGGCCCAGAGTTCAGGCCCCACAACCGGACCCAAAAAAGAAAAAAAAAAAAGATAAGGATGGAAAATGTCCCATTGTCTTTCTGTTTTGTGTTATTTTCTGGCTTCAAGATGCTCATTGTGGGGAAAAAATGTATACAGTTGCAAGAAATGTAAAGAAATTCATAGAAGACAACCATCCATGATCTGTCAACCCAGAAGAGCAATGACAAGGGTTTTACAAGTGTCCTTGTCACCCTTCCTCTCTGAGAAACTACATTGTGATAAGACCATCCTGTATGTGTTCTTTTGTTGCTCTTTCTGTTACTGTTGTGGCATAAGAATCCGCCATGATATTCATGCTACAAAGAAATCCTCTTGCCAGGTACCAGTGGCTCATACCTGCAATCCTAGCTATTCAGGAGGCTAAGATCTGAGGATAGCAGTTGGAAGCCAGCCTAGACATAAAAGTCCAGGAGACTCTTATCTCTTCACTGAAAAAGGCAGCAAAACACATGGCCCTGAGATTAGGCCCCAACACCGACACAACAACAACAACAAATCATCTTGACAGTTGGAGACATGGCTCAAGTGGTAAAGTGCCAGTCTATGAGCAAGAAATCCTCTAAAGTGCACTTTTAATGGCCATAATACTCCCTCAAGTATGATGTTCCAGAAGTCATTCAGCAAATCCCTGTTTATGGCCAGCTGACCTCCCACCTTGCCTGTGTTCCGGAACAGCAGGGGCCTGCCATTTGGTTTGATTTGATTAAGCCATGGTCATGAAGGAAGCATGTTTTATTTTGTTTAGCATTTTTTGTCTTTAGCATTTTCATCTGAAGTAGCAAATTTAAAGAATGAGAATAGCGAAGAGATACCCTACCACAGTTCCCTGTTTTACTGAAGGGTCTAGCTAATGTCAGCACCCAAGGAAAAGATATCCAGACTGAAAAGGAAGAAGTGCAATTGCTTTATCAGATGGGGGAGGCCAGGTACAGTGGCTCACACCAAGATCCTTGCTACTCAGGAAGTGTAAATCAGGAGGGTCACAGTTCAAGGCTAGCCCAGGCAAAAAATTGTCAAGACCCCCACCTCAACGAATAGAAGTTGGTATGGTGGCTCACACCTTTTTCCTAGCTATGCATGAATCATACATGGACAGATTATGAATGAGACCCAATTCAAAAGTAACTAAAGTAAAAATTAAAATGCATGAAAAAGTACATGCACACAAAGACTTGAAAACAAATGTGTACAACCTGTATGCATAGCAGAAACATGATGTTAAATGAAAGGAGGAGAGGGAGCCCACACAAAGTTAAAATAAACAACATTGGAAAGTTTGGGAGTTAATCTCAGACATTTTACACCTCAGTACTCACTTAAACCTCTCTAGAAAATGTAAGAAGTCTACAGTCACTAGTAGCTCACATCTGTAATCCTAGCTACTTAAGAGATTGAGGTCCGAGGGTCATGGTTTGAAGCCAGGCTTGGCCAGGAAAGTCTGTAAGACTCTTATCCAATTAACCACCAAAACGCCAGAGATGAATGGAAGTGTCTCAATTGGTAGAATGCTAGCTAGACTTGAGTAAAAAAGCTCAGGATAGCACCCAGACCCTGACTTTAAGCCCCAGGATCAGTGCATGTGCGCATAACACACACACACACACACACACACACACACACACACACGTGCATACACACAAGTATTTGGCCATGTAATTTTAACCCCTCTGTATGATACTTTCACAATTAAAAAAAAAAAGACGTATTTGGGTGTGCATCCTAGAACAAAACTGTAGTTTGGATATGGTCTGAGCATGTTCCCTGAAGTTGTATGCCTGAATGACCCCCGTGTGGTGCGTTGGAGTCTGTGAGAGGTGGGAACTGGTACAAGATAACCAGGTCGTGGGCATTACCCATGGAATGGGTTCATGCTGATCCTAAAGACAGTTGGCTCTCTCAAGAGCAGGTTGTTGCAAAGCAATACCACCCAATGCTCTTGGCCCCTTCTGGAGGTTTCTTTTCTATTTCTCCACAATGATGTGATGTAGCCAGGATACTTTTAACAAGATGTCAGCATCATTCTCTTTGGACCCTTCTAAATCATGACCCAAATAAATCTCTTTGCTCTATGAAGTACTTTAAATATTTTTCATATAGGAATAGAAAATAGGCTGATAATAAGCAGAAGGACTCAGATTCTTCTCTCTCCTAAGTAAAAGAGTAGGGTAGTAGGCAGAGATAACTATTCAGACATAAGGATATTACCACTGCCTTTGTCTATTTCCAAACCTCTAAAGCCTGGTCTTCCTGTTCTAGAGATACATTCTTTGTTCCAGGCCCTGTTGACCCGAACTTTGGATCCTTAAAGTCCTGCCGGTACCTTCTCCTCAGCAGCTATCCCACAGCCCACATTACCCTTTCCTGGTTCCACCCCTGCCTCCTGACTTTCTCCAGGCAAACTTTACTTATACCAGGCTCCTATCCTCTGTACACTGACTTTGCAAAGACAGTTTTAAATCTTGCAGCTGCCAGCAGCTGTCTGCTTCTGGAATGATACAAAAGCCATGATTTCATCTGGAAAAAACACAGGGAAGAAACTGCTTGTTAGATAAGCCACATGGCAGTTACCACCCCTGGCTGTTAGTGACTCATAAGAAACAGTCACTGTTTTACAATGTTGGCTGGCTAGATTTCCTGGGCTCACATTTTAGGGACCTGCCTCCCGAGGGGGATTATACAGTCTTTTATGTCACATGATCCGCAGTTTTATAGAGATATAGAATATTCCTTAACATTGAGATACCTGTTACTGACAAATAGCTTTTTTGATTGGCAATTATTACAGTTAGCTTATTTTTTAAAAGTAGAAATTGCTGGGTGCCGGTGGCTCATGCCTGTAATCCTAGCTACTCAGGAGGCTGACATCTGAAGATCATGGTTCAAAGCCAGCCTGGGCAGGAAAGTCTATGAGATTCTTATCTCCAAATAACCACCAGAAAACTGGAAGTGGTGCCGTGGCTCAAGTGGTAGAGCGCTAGCCTTGTGCTGAAGAGCTGAGGGACAGTGCCCAGGCCCAGAATTCAAGCCCCATGACCAACCAAAAAAAAGTAGAAATCGATCATTTCCAATAGGTATAGACAGACAAGTGCTACCAAACCTGGTGTATATTACAATGATAAACTTTGTACTCTACTAGCTCTATAAATTTTCAGTAACTAACACAGCATGGTGTTGGCACAAGGACAGACAGACCTTAATCCATTCTTCCCTCTGGACTTACATAGCCCCCACAGGCCCTCTGTCCCAATACTGCTAGAATGGCAGTCACATTTCAATATGAGTATTGGAGAAAGAAACAATATCCAATTCGTACCACAGGCCTGCACCTGCCAAGATCTTTTTTTTTTTTTTGGTCGGTTGTGGGGCTTGAACTCTGGGCCTGGGCGCTGTCTCTCAGCTCTTCAGCTCAAGGCAAGCACTCTACCACTTGAGCCACAGCACCACTTCTGGTTTTCTGGTGGTTTATTGGAGATAGGAGTCTCACGGACTTTCCGTGCCCGGGCTGGTTTTGAACCGCAATCTTCAGATCTCAGCCTCCTGAGTAGCTAGGATGACAGGTGTGATCCACAGGCGCCCAGCCTGCTAAGATCTTTGTTCCCAAGGAGGGAATTTCACATCTTGACTACCCATCATTGAGGTTTAACTCTAACACAGACATGCATGTGTGGGTATGTATGCCAGGTGCTGTGTGTTTAAGAAAACCATATGTACTATAATAGCAGTGTTTATCAGACTCCAGATAGTGGAGACCTCCTCCCAGAGTTTTGTTATTTGTCACTACCTGAATGTTAATGTTTTCTTTAACTGGCTTTTTAAGCTTGTTAAAGATAACATTTTTGGGGTCCGTGTGTGTGTGTGTGTGTGTGTGTGTGTGTGAAAGGCAAAATTTACTTCTGTGAGGAAGGGTGTCCCATTGGCAAACGGGCACCAAAAATAACATGTTTTAGGGGAAAAGAACTATATTTCAGTCGTAATAGAAATCTTGTTTCATGAAAGGGACAAAATGCAATGAAACAACAACAGGAAAATGGTTTAAATACAGCAAGCTGCTGTGCTTGCTCCTTTGAGGATCAACAGAGCCAGGCCCTGCTCTCAGGAAGCAAGTTAGAAACCCGTTACCTCATGAAGACATTCTTCCTAAAGTGAAAGAGGATTTGAAGATAACAGAGGAAAATGAACTTTCTCCCAAGACACTGTGAGTTACCAGAATCGTCTCGCCACATTTAAAGCCTTGTAATACTGCCATTAGTGCATCCAGTACTAAGAGCTAAAGGAGCTGGTGTTTGTCGATCAGCTGATACAGGATTTAAAGAAAACCTTGTAGCCATTTCTTCACTCTGTAACATAGACCTCTGAGAAACATGGTGTTTCCATTTTACAGATGAGCAGACTGAGGCTCACAGATGTGGAGCTTGTTCAGAATCACGTAGCAAGGAAGGAAGGAACAGAGCCAACTGGTTCTGTCTGGCCTTATATCAATACTTTAAGCTAGCAGGACTTGCTGTCCAAAGGGCCAGAATCCCTTCTGCAATGGATCTGAGTTCAGCTAGATCTGTTTGTGTGGTACTTGGCACTACTGACCAATCCCAAGACAGTCCTGGGGTGTTCCAAAGGCAGAATCGTCTCTCAGGCCAGGCTTGTTCCCTTTGGAATGGAGGCAACTTGAGAGAATGCAGCACTGCCTTTTAGGTGGAACGTATCTTATGGTTTGAGGCTTAGGTTTGGCCTTTGCCTGTAGCAGTGGCCTAAGCTAGGAAGAGAAGTTGGCATTGTGGGGAGGTTTCCAGTGAGCTTTCCTTCCCTGGCCGGTCTGGAGCCTTTTTCCTCTTCATCAAGGAGGATGCCTGTCCCTCAAGAGGAAGACCACCCTCCAGCGGCTCATGGCCCTTATGTCCCCACTGTCTTCTGCAGGGCCCCGTGACTAGGTCCAGACCTCTGCCTCACATTAATGTATCCAGCCAACACCTTCTGACCTGATGTCCAGGGTTTGCCCAGCACTGTGTAGGGAGAGAGGAAGAGAAGCTACTGCCATTCCGACTTCGATGGAGATTTGAATCAGCCTATGTTGGCTCTCTAGTCCAAGTTACCTATCACAGCCTCCCATTTCCCCACCTCCAAAACAGGCCAGCACTTGCAGAATTCCTTGAAGAGACACATATAATGCCACTTAGGAGTCATTGAGTGATGAACCAAGGTCAAGGAGCATTGTTACTGAGTTCTGGGGAGGGCTTTGCATACCAAGCAGCTATGGCCACCTCCTTCGTGACATGGTTGGAGATACAAGAGCTGTAGGATTCAGAAGAAAGAGAGACCCACAGGAGGCTCAAGACAATGGCTTGTCCTGGGAGAAGAACGGCCACTCACTGTCCAAAACCAAAAAAAAAAAAAAAAGAATCAGATGAAAGGTGGGAAAGACAGTGCCCACCCTCTCCTGCTGCTGCTCTGCCTCAGCCCAGCCCAGCCCAGTCCTGAGAACTGACAAGGGACAGAAGCCACTGCCTAGCTAAAACATAGAACACCAACGACCCCTGTGGCTCAACACCCTGCAGAGCCAAGGACGACCGACCTCTGGAACCGTCCTCCCACCTACCCGGGTGCCATTCCTTGCAGCCTTCCACAGAGGGAAGGGGTCTGTCTGTCCTAAGGGGAGAGCCTCGCTCACAGTGTGCAAGGGCTTGGACATGACCAAGTACCATGCATGTGCAGAGCCTCAGGTCTGACCCCTAGCACTTCCCACTCCCCCCAAAGCAAGTAGAGGCCATGGATGGACAAATGGATGAACAGAATATGGTCCATACGTACAATGGTATGTATTTCCACCTGAATAAAGAAATTCTGACACTGCTACAACACAGATAACCCTTGAAAATGGTAAAAGATTTTATGTAGACACAAAGGGACAAATACTATATGATTCCACTTAGACAGGAAGTTCATAAGGACAGAAAGAAGACTGATGGGCCAGAGAATGTAGTGTTTGATTGAAACAGAATTTCTGTTCTGTGAGATGAAAAGACCTCTAGGATAGACGGTCACCCAAAATTGGGATGTATTAATACCACTGAACTGCACGCTGGAAAATGTCTAAAGAGGTAATATATAGAGAGGGGGGGAGAGGGAGAGGAAGAGGGGGAAGGGAATAATATATATGGCCATAAACCCTCTAAAAGGTGCAACATTAGAAGCCTCTAGTCAGCTTTCTACTGGTCTTCCCAAGGCCAGTGTTCCTCCAGGATTGATGCAACATCTGGGGTTGAATGTCAGATCAGTTTTAAGGTAGTTAGCTATCAGACAGAAAGTACAAAGCATATCTCCTCCCCCCAGACTCAGGCCCGGCATAACAAGAAAACAGGACATGTGAGAAAGTAGCAGGTCCTGATAGGGCTGGCTTATGGCCTGTGCTAGTGAAGTAATGTACTCTTGCTGTGTTGGTAAAGAAAGGTGGACCTGAAAAGGCTTTACGACACTCAGATCACAGTTCCCACCTTCCAGGCCTAGGACCCAGTGGGGCTTAAGTAGATATTTGTAAAATGGAGTGGTTTAGCCACATCTTAGTTTAAAATCCTTTAATGACCAGGATGTACTCTGTACTTCTCTTGGATTTGGCACAGAAACTAATGCAGTGCTGGGCACAAAGAAAATGCCTGTTAAGCCATTGAATGAATACCTTTTGTAGATAAAAGGGTTCCACGAATTTGTACTTGCACCTGTGCCTTCTCCCTGTATTCCCAGGCCAGCCTGTTGGCAGACACAGTGTTAGCACCTTGCGACCCAGCTGATGGCCGCAGGCCAGCTTACCCTGGAACTAGTTAGTAGGCAACTAGGACACCAACCCCTCATTAACCTCCATCAAAGCTATCCATCAGTGTCTTCACTGTGACGCTTCAGATGCTGCATGCATGTGTGCGTGTGGTAGGAACAACCTGAATGTTCACCATTCGAAACCAGTCACCTAAACTAGGACACATCTGTGCTGTGGACACCCAGTATCCAGTATCATTCTACTGGGGACGAAATGGTGAAGAGAGAAAAACAAAGGTGGAGAGTGAACAGTTTCTAAGTGTAAATGTATGAAGACAACGAGAGAGTTATTCTGAACTCCTGAAATATCATAGTGAAACCCCACTACAAACTAAAAGAAATGAGGAGGGAGGGAGGTAGAGGAGAGGGCAGGAGGGGGGACGGGGAGGAGGGGGAATGGCGAGGGGGAGGAGGGGGAGAAGCCAGTCTGACCAGCAGAACTGGAGAAGGCTAATGAAGAGGATAGATGAGGGTGGATTTGGTTGATGTAGTTTATTTGCATGATGACAATGGAACAGTGAAATACAACAGTGAAAGCAGAACACAATACAACTAATGTGTGCTATTAAAAAAAAAAAAAAAAGATAGCTGGGTGCTGGTGGCTCAAGCCTGTAATACTACTATTCAGAACACAGTTCAAAGCCAGCCCAAGTAGGGGGTCCAGGAGACTCTTATCTTTCCAGTTAACAAGTAGAAAGCCAGAAGTGAGGGTGTGGCTCAAATGGTAGAGCACTGACATTGAGCAAAACAATCTAAGGGACAATTCCCAGGCCCTTCCCCCTTACTAGCATCCAAAAAATTATGAAACTATGTGAAGTTAGTGAAAACGTCACTTTACAAAATGACATTGTATAGTTTCGTCTGATTCATACATATGTGTACATGCATCTTCAGCATGTGTGTGTGTGTGTGTGTGCTAGAAACCATGACATCAGCTTTACCTGGGGGCATTGTTAGCCATGCACACCTGCAGGCCCCTTATAGACCTTTGGAATTGGAAACTCTGGGCTCTGGCCCTATCTGTGTTTTTGTTTGTTTGTTTGTTTGGGTGTATTTTGGGCTTGAGCTCTGGGCCTGAACACTATCCCTGAGCTTCTTTTGCTCAAGGCTAAGGCTCTACCACTCAAGGAGCCACAGCTCCACTTCTGGCTATTTTGGGGGGTAGTTTATTGGAGATAAGAGTCTCACTTACTTTACTGCCCAGTCTGGCTTTTGAACCCTGATCCTCAGATCTCAGCCTCCTGAGTAGCTAGGATTACAGGCGTGAGCCACTGGTACCTGGACATATCTGTGTTTTATCAAGCCACCTGTGACTCTGATGTCTGCCTGAGTTTGAGTAACACTGGTTGTGGCATCTTTGATGCCTTTCCTTCCCTTGGACTTACCCATTTCGCTTTTCCAGGCCCTGATTCAGCTGCCTCCGTATATTTCTCAGTGTGATGAGGTGCTGCAGTTCTTTGAGACAAGGCCTGAGGACCTGAATCCCCCCAAAGAGTAAGTTTCTCTGTGGACTTCCCCAGATGGAACCCTTACCATCCTCCCTCCTTCCAGTCCAGCCAGATTCACAAGGAGCTAGAATCAAGCAGGGTACCTTTAAAGAATAACTTCTGTACACCTAGAGTCACTTCCCTGTCTTTAAGAAAAGGAAAGACGGAAGGAAGGACAGAACGGCAAGGAAGCAAGGAAGGAAGGAAAAAAGGACGGAAGCAAGGAAGGAAGGAAAAAAGGACTGGTTGGTGAGGGCCTTTGGGTAACTCTCAAGCCACAGCTAGAAGTCTCAGTTGAGCTCCACTTGTTGGTTTGAGGGTGATGAAACTTCAAAGACGACCACCAAGGGGTTGACAAACTCAAGTTAAGGCTTGAAGTGGGGACTGTGGGGTCAATCCTGGCCAGTGAGTAGGTGAGGACATGGTGGCATCTGGCTGCTGACACTCAGAATGCCCTCTCAACCTCTTAGGGTGTCAAGCTCCCTGCTTCCACCTGAAGGCACTGTGAAACCCTTATACCTGATGGGTATAACCCAGACCTGAAAATCAGATTATACATTTCTCCAGAGAAGAAGCACAAATGACCAGTAAACATAACAAAAGATGCTCATCTTATTTGCCACAGGAAATACGAATCCAGACAAAGATTCCACAGATTTGCACATTAGAATGGCCACCATCAAATGGTCAAGGATATAGAGAAATTAAAACTTCATATGTTTTCATGGCAACATAAGATGGTACCCCTACTGTGGAAAAGTCGGGGAGTACCACAAGAAGTTAAAGTTTGGGGCTGGGAATGATCGCCAGTGTGCTGGAGCACTTACCAGGTTAAGAGAAAATTAAGAGGAAGCTTTTCTAAGAAGGCTAGATCCCTGGGGTAGGCTTGAATTTCATTCAACTCACTGACAAAGTCGTTGGATGACATGTTTCCTAATGGAAGACTTGTGTCAGTTCATAGCAAGACTCATTGCTTTCTCTTGTACCCTTCTTTCCTGTATAGAGAGCACACTGGAAAAAAGAAATCTGGTAAGTATATTTTCCATTTTCTTCATTTCAGTGTTCTGAATATTCTTACTCTGCATCTGCCCTATGCCAGGTGCTAGGTTCCACCCTGGAGACTCAATAATGTGGATGGATGGATAGATGGATGGGTGGGTGGATGGGGGTGGATGGATGGATGGATGGATGGATGGGTGGGTTGATGGATGGGTGGGTGGATGGGGGTGGATGGATGGATGGATGGATGGATGGATGGATGGATGGATGGACGGGTGGGTGGATGGATGGATGGACAGACGGACGGATGGATGGAGGGATGGATGGATGGACGGATGGATGGATGGACGGATGGATGGATGGATGGGTGGGTGGGTGGGTGGGTGAATGGACGGGTGGATGGATGGGTGAGTGGGTGGGTGGGTGGGTAGAAGGATGGATGGGTGGATGGATGGGTGAGTGGGTGGGTGGGTAGAAGGATGGATGGATGGGTGGATGGATGGGTGAGTGGGTGGGTGGGTAGAAGGATGGATGGGTGGATGGATGGATGGGTGGGTGGATGGGTGGATAGATGGATGGATGGATGGGTGGATGGATGGATGGGTGGATGGGTAGGTGGGTAGGTAGACAGCCTTAGCATTGGTCCCGCCTCTGTGGCTCCTTCAGGGAGCCAGGTTATAATTAATGTGCTTCATCCATTGCCATGCATGTTCACCTCATGTCTTCTTGTTCTTGTTCTTCCTATTCTTATTAGGAAACTCTCTTTCTTCCTAATGATCTCCGGCCCAGGGTCACACTTGTCTGATGCTATTTTTTTCTGCCATTGTTTAAATGGCAGAAAAGTGACTTCAGTTTCCCTGGGTCCGGTAGCTTGACTGCTTCCTGGGGACAGGGCCATGAGCAGCTTTACAGGCACCAAAAAGAAAGAAAGTGAGAGGAGCTGCATCTCAAGGCAGAGAGCCAGAGGAGCTGGCTCTCTGTCTTGAGATGCAGCATCTGGAATGGATGCTTGCGTTTGCTTGGCATGTGCAGCCCTTCTTTCTGGTTAATGGGCACTGGCGATGACCATCGGATCCTTCTAGTGCTGTGAATAGTCTGAGTCCAGGAATAATTACATGTCTCTTAGAAAAGAATAAAGGAGAGCTGCTACTCTTGGGCTGGTCACAGTGTTCCTGGAAGAAGAGGGTGGGAGGGAGGAAGACAGGAAAGAGACAGCTCTGGTTTGTGAAGACAAAAGTGTTGGTTGGAGCAGGCTTGATGAATGGACTTGTCTGGAAAGGGAGACACAGCTCTAATTTGTGGTAACCATGTTGACATCATCACCTGCAATGATGGGGCATAGATTTATTTATAGTTCAGCTGGATGGAAATAGCATCTTTTTTTTCCATTTGGTCTAAAAGCTCATGCTGGCCTTAGTCTTATTTTTATCAGACCTTTGAGCATGGACTTGATTTTCGAACTAGCCATCTTTATTGAATTGTGAAGAGATTTACGGTTAGCAGACTTGAACCCTAAGCTTTCTATGCCTGTGCTCTGGAAAAGGTTTGCCTCCCCTCAGCATTGCTTGCTTGTGACTGGCTGGTCTTGCAGACTGGCCAGTGTGGTCTCAAATTCTGCTCAGCCTGCAGGAAAAACATTTTCTCACCACAATTTAACAGAGCATTTGAGTTCTTGGTTTTTCTACCCTTTACTTACTAAAATAACTCAAATAGCCCTTGTTTATGGATTCTTTCAGCAAGCCTGGCAATGTAGTACATTTCTGGATGGAAAAGTCCACTGTTGTCTACTTGTCTTTTTAAAAATTAAACACATACCACCTTTTTTGTTGTTGTTGGTCATGGGGCTTGAACTTGGGGCCTGGGCACTGTCCACAGATCTTCAGCTCAAGGCCAGCCCTCTACCGCTTGAGCCACAGCTCTACTTCCAGTTTTCTAGTGGTTTATTGGAGATAAGAGTCTCATGGACTTTTCTGCCTGGACTGGCTTTGAACTTTGATCCTCAGATCTCAGCTTCTTGAATAGCTAGGAATACAGGTGTGAGCCACCAGTGCCCAGCTGACATACCATCTTAAAGAAAATACACAAATGGGCAATTCCTGTGGTAGGTTAGGCAGTATACTACTTGACTATTTTTACCTGTTTAATGATAAAAACCACCCTTCCACTGCCAAATCCCCTTTCTCTAGACCTCTTCCTTTCATATTTCCTTCTGAGCCACATGATACTCCCTGCCTACCTAGAACTCTGCTGCCTGCCCAGACCTTGAGCTGCTGTGACTGCCATGCACTCTAGGGCGTGGCTGTGTATTCCCCACAACAGGGGTCTCTACAGGATGCCTAAACACACCTAAGCACCACCGGTTAGACCACACAGAATCAGATTCTTTTTTTCATCAGTTTTGGTAATTTGAATATGCTGAGTAAAATAAAGATGACTGACTCTGGAAGAAGAGGAAGGAAGGAAGGAAGGAAAAGAAAGGAAAGAAGGAAAAGAAAGGAAGGAAGGAAGGAAGGAAAAGAAAAAAAGGAAGGAAGGAAGAACTCTGTGCTCACTGCTGACCCCTGTGTGGCAGAGAACTGCAGTTTAAAAACTCAGAGCAAGACTTAGAGCAAGTATCAGCCTTGAGCCTTGTGACAGACCCAGGTGACCTTATGCTGGACAGAAGCCTGATCCCTACACCTGCCTGCTCAAGTCCTGGCTTCAGGCCTCACAACTCCCTGCTTCTGTTTCTGCTCATAATTTTTGCCAAGTTCTTTTGGCAGATGGGTTAGGAGAATTGGTGCAGAACTGACCAGGCTAGTCTATTCATCAGGATCCTAGAAATAACTGTGGGAATAACTGTGCCACAGTCAGGTGTTAAAACTGGACAGAGTGACCTGTCTTAGCGGACCGTCACAAAACCAAAGGTGGTATTCCTACTGACCAGAAAGGAGAAGGGGTCTTTGGTTGCCTGTAGATGGTCCAGGCCTATTGGTAGTTGTCAGCACTCCTGAAAATAGGAGGCCAGGGGCTTTGTCTGGAGCAGGGTTTACCAAAGTCTGCACTCATCCTCTGTTCAGTCACTGTGCAGACTGTACCAGGTGAACGAGACAGACACACAGCAGTATTTATCTGGTATTTATCCAGCACCTATGTGTTTGGGTCTCAAGGACAACAAAGCAAACAAGATGTGAAAAGCATCTTGGCACCAGTGGCTCACACCTGTAATCCTTGCTGTTGCTCAAGTGGTAGAGTACTAGTCTTGAGCACATAAGCTCAGGGACAGTGCCTAGGCCCTGAATTCAAGCCCCAGACCAGGCATTAAAAAAAAATGAGAGTCTTGTAGGAAAGACAGGTGTATGAGCAAAATAAAATATGAGGAAAGACATCTTAATTCCAACTAAGGTAAAAAGTTCTATGAAGCTAATTTTAAAATATTCGTTCTTTTATTTAAATATCCCTTGAGCCTTAGTAGATTCCTCCAAGATCTAGGCCAGGGATGGGCCAGCACTTTCTCTAAAGTAAATTGCAGGTAGTAAACATCACACTTTACAGGCAACACAGTCTCCGTCACTATTATTATTATTATCATCATTATCATTATTATTTGCTGTTGTTACTGTCACCTGTCTTTTCCCCAGTCTCCTTCTTCACACTAAAAAAGCTTAAAAACATTCTTAGCATCCTGGACATAAAGAGCTCATAGAACTGTGCGATTGACAAACAGAGTGAATACAGTGGCAGTCAGGAGACAGAGTCCCTGCTGGAATCAGGCTTCTGTGCTATAATAGAAAAATAGGCAATAACAAAACAAGTTAGACACACAGTATCCATTTAAAACAACAACAACAACAAACTCTAGGGCTGGGAATGTGGCCTAGTGGTAGAGCGCTTGCCTAGCATGCCTGAAGCCCTGGGCTGGATTCCTCAGTACTGCACAAACAGAAAACGCCAGAAGTGGCACTGTCTCAAGTGGTAGAGTGCTAGCCTTGAGCAAAAAAGAAGCTCAGGGACAGCACCCAGGCCCAGAGTTCAAGCTTCAGGACTGGCAAGAAAAAAAGTACACTATAGCAAGAGATGCATACACTGGTGAGGTAGAACTCACGTTCACGGAGGTGTCACTTGAGCAGAGAGGAAGGGCTGAAAGACACAGTGCAGAGGGAGCAGAAAACAGAGCTCTCAGAGAGAGGAACAAGTTATGCCTGACAAGGAGTAGCAAGAGTGCTCCTAACTAGAGTGACCTACCGTGACTAGATGATTTAGGTTTGACTGCAAGTGGCAGAAAATGAAACGTGCTGTTTCAACAGTTTAACTTTGCTTCTTCCAGTGGTCCAGGAGTGATACAACACTTAATAATAGCAGGGTTCATGTCACGGTGGCCAGAGCACAGAGAAAGAGGGTGCAGGAAGGACCAAACGTAACCACCAGCAAAGACCTCCAGAGCCTGCTTCCCCAGTGAGGCCCACCTCCCACTGCCTGCCAATAATGCCAACATATTACGACTCCCTCAGGGATTAATCCATTTATTAGATCCGAGCCCTTGGGATCTGATTGTCTCTGACACTCCTTCACAGAAATACTCAGATTGTGCTTTACTGGCCTCCTAGGCAGCTCTCAATCCAGTCAAGTTGACAGTTAAGATTAACCATCACACAACCCAAGCTGTGGAGAACCCAAGAACACTGGGAAGCCATGAACAGTAGAGCCTTATGCCTAGACATCGTGTTTCTGGGCTTTTCACCCTGTCTCCAGTATGGAGGGCAGACTTGAAGGGCAGGACAGACCCTCCTTGCAAAGTGTCTCAAAGTCTCAGACCCTGATGCATCGGGCATGGTAAAGTGGGCCCTAACAGAAAACCTGCCTCTTGCACAAATCCTGTGGCCCATGAGGAAGAATCCGTACAACAGCTTACAAGTGGTTGCGGAGAGTGTAGGAGCACAGCTCAGTAATCAGGTGCTTACTCAGTAGCACCAGGGCCCCAGGACTGCCAGTACTGGGCCGTCCTCCTTCCACACTGTCTGCTCTTCTAACAGTTGCCCAGCTGCCTCCTTTTTGGGTGCCTAATCACAGACACTTCTTTTTGGGGGCAAGTGTCGCTGGGCTTGAACAGGGCCAGAGGTCTGTCCCTGAGCTTCTTCACGTAAGGCTATCACTCTACTACTTGAGCCACAGCTCCACTTCTGGCTTTTTGGTAATTAGTTGGAGATAAGAGTCTCATGGCAGGGCTGGGAAGGTGGGTCAGTGGTAGAGCGCGTGCCTTGCATGCATGAGGCCCTGGGTTCCATTCCTCAGCACCACATAAGCAAAAAGAAAAAAGCCGGAAGTGGCGCTGTGGCTCAAGTGGTAGAGCGCTAGCCTTGAGCTGAAGAGCTGAGGGACAGTGCCCAGGCCCAGAGTTCAGGCCCCATGACCGGACCCCCCCCCCAAAAAAAAAAAAAAGAGTCTCATGGGCTTTTCTACCTGGGATGGTTTCGAACTACCATCCTCAGATCTCAGCCTTCTCAGTAGGCACCATTACAGGCATTAGCCACTAGCAGCCAGCACAGATGCCTCCTTAAGTTTAAAGTACCTGGATTCTGAGTATCTTTGCCCTTAGCCAGGACTACCCAGGTTCAGGGGACACTGACCCCACGGTGTGTTCTGGAAGCTTCCAGGAGGCCCTCCCATGCCATCCTCCGCCACTGCTGCTCTCTTTTGCTCACCGTGGGCTCTCTCCATTCTCCTCATGGCAGCCAGTTTGCTTTTAAATATGTAAATCTCATTTGCCCCTTAACAGCCCTGAAGTGGCTTTCTGCTTCAAGACTGAAATGGTTTGGCCCTGAAGGCCTCTCCTCCCTGTGAGACGCTCACTGCTGTCCTCTCACGCACTGGACTCCAGCCCGTCCCCAGTGCAGAGTTGGTCCGCCTCAGACCCTCCCATTCTTAAACTCCTCCCTAAGCCTGCTTGGCACAAACTAAGTGGCACAGAGCAGCCGTTGCACTGAAAACAGCAGGCGGCAAGGAAGGAGCAGTTCCTCTCTCTCCCCCTAGGTTCCTGTGGATAAAATGTGGCACTGCCTAGCCTTACCGTTAGGGTTCAACTTGGTGATACCCAAAGAACAGTAGAAGGTGTCTACTTTCTGTCCCCTCTTTAGTGACCACCCCTTTAATACCTTTTTTCCCAGACTGCTCATTTTCTGCCCCAGCATGCTGCTGTTTCCAGCAATCCGCACAAACTTGATTGTGTATGTATGTGTTTGTGTGTGTGCCTGCCTCCTTGACCAGCTTGAGTTACTTGAAGCTAGGTGTCACATGATCCACACCCTCAGGTAGCTCGAGCTCCCAGTGTTTACACAGAATATATACTTGCTAGGTTGCAGTGTGAGCAGCAGAGCTGCAGCACCCTTGGGATGAGTCTGGTAGCACTTTCTCTATGTTTGGAATGTCCCTGGCTATCAGCCCGTCTTCTGCCTCCTGCCCCTGCACACGTGGCACTGAGCTTGTGCTTGCTGTCGACAGGGAGCGACCTGACGTCAGGAGACCCCATGGTTCTGGAGCAGTATGTGGTGGTGGCAGACTACCAGAAGCAGGAGAGCTCGGAGATCAGCCTCAGTGTGGGGCAGGTGGTTGACATCATCGAGAAGAACGAGTCAGGTAGAGACCTGAACCCTGGCCCTCCCCTTCCAGCATCACCAAGGCCCCGGGTCCAAAGGCACATGACACTCAGGAACAAACATCCCCGCTCGGCTGGTCTTCCCAGATCTGGCTCCTGTTCTTCTAGCAGCTGCTTCTGTTTGAGCAGCAGGCTGGAATATCCATGTGGTCACACCTCACCAGCATCCTGCTGTGTCACATGCAGCTGATTTGTCCCCATGTTCATGTTTCCTAAATATCCCTCTGGTGTTTGGGTACTTGGAGATGCGGATCAAATGGTGCACTAGAAATGCGCTCCTGATCTCTTTCCTCGAGGCATCCCCAAGAAGGCCCTCTAGGAGCCAGCCTGGTTGCCACACCTGCGACCTCAGCTCTCCAAAAGCTAAGGCAGGAGGACTGTGGTTTGAGGACAGCCTGCCTCTACAGTGAGGCTTTAGCAGGGGCAAGGATCTGGGAAGGAGGGGTCTCCTCAGCCTACCATCATCCCTGGGGCCGCTGATGGGGATTCAGTGACTGAGGTACAGAGCCTGGACTCCACCTGAACTTCAGATTGCTCAGTGGGCCAGGTCGAGTCATTTCTCTGGCTATTGATTTTCTCACACAGAAAACGACACCCCCTCCGCCCCACCCCCACCGCCACCACTGCCAGCTATTCAGGGATTAATTGAGATACCATAGAGGAACAGCCTAAGCCTGCTTCGAACATACAAAGTGCCACAGAGTGGCCATTGCACTGAAAAAAATTTTAAAAACCCAAAACATGTAGAAGGAATATATAGGCTTTATGCAAACACCTTACCATTTTGTATATGTATATATGGAAGTCCTGGGGCTTGAACACAGGGCCTGGGGCCTGTCCCTGAGACTTTGTGCTCAAGACTAGCATACCACCACATAAACCACGGCTCCACTTATGGCTTTTAGGGCTAACTGGAGATAAGAGTTTCACAGACTTTCTTGCCCAGGCTGGCTTTGAACTGCAATCCTCAGATCTTAGCTTTCTGAGTAGATGCGACTACAGGCATGAGCTCCTACACCATTTCGTAGAAAGGCTGTGAGCCTCTGGATTTTGGTGTGCTCAGAATAGTCCTAGAGCTGGCTCTCCCCCATCCAGGGGCAGCTGTGTATTCTGCTTCAGCCCAGGCCACGCCCTGTCCCACTAACATCTCCCCGGACTCTCACCTCTACAGGCTGGTGGTTTGTCAGCACCGCTGAAGAGCAAGGCTGGGTCCCTGCCACCTGCCTTGAAGGGCAGGATGGCGTGCAGGACGAGTTCTCCCTCCAGCCCGAGGAAGGTAGGAAGAGGTCCTCCTGGGGTCACTGGGGCACCTAGGCCCTGCCACTCGGGCTCAGTTGCCCCTTCACGGGTCCCTGCCCTGTAGCCTCTGTTTCTCACTGGCTCAGCCTGTGAGTGTGAAGTAGTCCATGGATCAGGGCTGCAGAGCAATTCCACACTTTGTCAGGGGCCTTCCCTGGCATAGCTGGGCCTTCAGCCTGTACCACTGTCACCAACCACCGCCAATACCATGACTATTCCTCCCTAGAACTCTTCCAGTGGCCAAGACCCAGGCTGCTTCTGGCTCACTTGTGGCATTTGACTCCATCTGTTTAAAGATGTGCACGCTCTCTGTGGATGCAAACAGCCCTGCCTGGGCCTCACACATACACACTTCATTGTCCTGCGATTCCTGAGGCACCAGCGATTAGTGTTGCTAGTCCAACTGTCCCCAAAATGTCCTAAAACTGAAGTGCGTATGCATCAAGACTACTTCAGATGTTATGGGGTCAGACATAAAATTTGGATCTCATTTGATTGATTTGGTGCTAGCAATATAATCTTTCTAAGCCTCAGCCTCTTCATCTGAAAGTGGAAATGATTCTCTTATGGGATTAAGAAACGTTAAAGTCTTACATGAAAAGAACCTAGAAAAACAAATAATGAAGAGCAGGTGGCAAATTAGCTCTTGTCTACTAGGCTTGAGTGCTTGGGTCTTTCAGCGGACTGTTTTGAGAAAGCACAAAGCCACTGTTAAGTAAATATGTATCGGAAAAGAGGGTGAGGAGAAGGGGGAGATCCCTAAATTCAAAGATGAGCAAAAAGATTGCATGTGGTTTTGAGTTTAGCTGAACTACAGCCAACAGCCCTCAGAGTTGGTCTGCTCCGGGTTTCAAGGTCCTCTGGGCGTGAGTGGCCGGGTCCGGCACATGGTCAGATGAAAGGGAGGTGGAATGCTGCGTGGAGTCAGAGCTCCCTCAGACAGTCTGTGCTGCCTCTGCAGGCAGGCAGGATGGGAAAGGGCTGCATTTGCTGAGAGCCACAGAGCTGAAAGACAGGTCTGGAGGTTTCTCTTGGTGCCTCTTCATACTCGCGCTAGGAATCGTTAGGTCTGCTGGGTGCTCCTCACTCAAGCTTCAGGCTAGCACTGCACACCGGCCCTTCTCCTCAGACAACGGGGGCTTGGAATTGACTCAGAAGTACTGCTCTCTTAAGTATTGCTCGCCTTGGCCTCAAGGCCCAGGAGGGCTCTGCCCTCACCTCTGCCTTCTGCCCTCCTCCACATGCTGTCCACCAAGACTCCTGGAGGTACTGGTCTCTGCCCCAGCCTGCGGGCCGCCGCCGGACCCTGGGAGACTTGTACGCCATCAGCTGGCGTCAAGGTGCCTACCTCCCGGTTTTCCTTCTGTTCATGCTTGGAGTCAGGTCCTTGCATCTGCATGAGCCCCTGCTGTGGGATCACCCTTGCCTGCTGCATGTGAGAAATGTGGTCTTGTCGTCTTCTGTGTGTGCTGGCATGCGGGCAGAGAAGGAATGGACATGGGACATTTGTGGGTTCTCAGCTTCAAAGCAAATCCGGAGACCCTATAATGCTGAACCAGTAGCTGGTTCCTTTCATCAGCTCATTTCAGTCACAAAGGGAAAAAACCCAAAACCTGTCAGGTTAAGCGTGAAGGGAGGAGTATTAGTTTCTATCACTGACAAGTCCAGAATAAGATGAGCTTGATGCAGGGCTAGGCCCATGGCTAGCCCTGGCTCTGTCCCCTGCCTGTGGATGCCACTGTCACAGTGGCAGCATGTCCAGGACCCTTTCAGGAAATGGCTTCTTATTCAACATGAGGCCCAGGACTAAACCCTCACTAAGCACCAAGCACTTACTAGGGAGCTGCAGTGCCATGGCCAGGCAAGACCACAGACACTGACCCTCCAGGAGTACTAAGCTCAGCCTCTCCCAAACCACACGTGGGGGAGTGGGGCGGGGGAGGGCTAGCCAGGCCAAGTCAGCAGATGTCCACTGTGAGAGCTACAAGGCTTCCACCCTAAGCTGGTCTGGATATGCTTAGCATCCTGTGGACCCCAGAGATGGCCTCGTTGGTGCTAGACAATCCCGTGTCCAGAAGACATAGGTACTAGAGGACAGTTGCAGGACTTACTGCACATGGGCAAGAACCCCAGCTGGACTGCACAGAACTTCCATGATGGGCAGGGCCACAGTCCCTTCCTCTGGTCCAAGCACAGCACCTGAGCCCACAGCGTTCTGGAGGGACCCCTGGCTGTGCTGAACCCAGAATGTACAGCGAGTCAGGCGGGCCGTGGAACAGGCTAGCAGCTCCACCCATCGGTCAACCACATCTGAGTGCTTAGAAAGCCCTTCCGTTGCACTGCAATGGCATCTTCCCAAGGAGACACTGACCATGGCCAGCCAGCCATGGCTGGCAGGTCACCCAGTGGTGGCTGACACAACTAAAGCAGGACAGCCCTCCCCCCCTCACCGGCGGCCCTGGGACATGCAGCCACTTCTGTCTCAGACCAAGCTGAGGACACAGGGAGCGGGAGCTGCCCTTGCTCCCTGCAGCTCTCTGCACTGATGAGCAGCTCTCCCGGTGACACTAGTCCTCCACGGCGGCTGTGGTGCACACAGCTGACAGCAGCTCCCGGGAGGAACATGGGGTGTAAAAGGTGGGCCTGTGCCTTCTGGGGCAGGGAGACAACAGAACTGGGGTAGACATGAATGATCAGAAGCTAGATCCAAGGACTAGAACACAGTGAAAAATGCAACTCAACTGCCAGCTGGATAATAAGCATCACCTGTGTGCCCTCCTGGGTGGGTCGAGGACATGACCATCACCTGTGTCCCCTCCTGGGTAGGTAGAGGACATGGCTATCACCTGTGTCCCCTCCTGGGTGGGTAGAGGACAGTGATCATCACCTGTGTCCCCTCCTGGGTGGGTAGAGGACATGACCATCACCTGTGTCCCCTCCTGGGCGGGTCGAGGACATGACCATCACCTGTGTCCCCTCCTGGGAGGGTAGAGGACAGTGATCATCACCTGTGTCCCCTCCTGGGTGGGTAGAGGACAGTGATCATCACCTGTGTGCCCTCCTGGGTGGGTAGAGGACATGACCATCACCTGTGTGCCCTCCTGGGTGGGTCGAGGACATGATCATCACCTGTGTGCTCTCCTGGGCGGGTAGAGGACATGACCATCACCTGTGTCCCCTCCTGGGAGGGTAGAGGACAGTGATCATCACCTGTGTCCCCTCCTGGGTGGGTAGAGGACAGTGATCATCACCTGTGTCCCCTCCTGGGTGGGTAGAGGACATGACCATCACCTGTGTGCCCTCCTGGGTGGGTCGAGGACATGATCATCACCTGTGTGCTCTCCTGGGCGGGTAGAGGACATGGCTATCACCTGTGTCCCCTCCTGGGTAGGTAGAGGACATGGCTATCACCTGTGTCCCCTCCTGGGTGGGTCGAGGACAGTGATCATCACCTGTGTCCCCTCCTGGGTGGGTAGAGGACATGACCATCACCTGTGTGCCCTCCTGGGCGGGTCGAGGACATGACCATCACCTGTGTCCCCTCCTGGGCGGGTAGAGGACAGTGATCATCACCTGTGTCCCCTCCTGGGAGGGTAGAGGACATGACCATCACCTGTGTGCCCTCCTGGGCGGGTAGAGGACAGTGATCATCACCTGTGTGCCCTCCTGGGTGGGTAGAGGACAGTGATCATCACCTGTGTGCCCTCCTGGGTGGGTAGAGGACAGTGATCATCACCTGTGTGCCCTCCTGGGTGGGTAGAGGACATGACCATCACCTGTGTGCTCTCCTGGGTGGGTAGAGGACATGGCTATCACCTGTGTGCCCTCCTGGGCGGGTAGAGGACATGACCATCACCTGTGTCCCCTCCTGGGTGGGTAGAGGACAGTGATCATCACCTGTGTCCCCTCCTGGGTGGGTAGAGGACATGACCATCACCTGTGTGCCCTCCTGGGCGGGTAGAGGACATGACCATCACCTGTGTCCCCTCCTGGGTGGGTAGAGGACATGGCTATCACCTGTGTGCCCTCCTGGGCGGGTAGAGGACATGACCATCACCTGTGTGCCCTCCTGGGTGGGTAGAGGACAGTGATCATCACCTGTGTCCCCTCCTGGGTGGGTAGAGGACAGTGATCATCACCTGTGTGCCCTCCTGGGTGGGTAGAGGACATGACCATCACCTGTGTGCTCTCCTGGGTGGGTAGAGGACATGACCGTCACCTGTGTCCCCTCCTGGGTGGGTAGAGGACAGTGATCATCACCTGTGTGCTCTCCTGGGTGGGTAGAGGACATGACCGTCACCTGTGTCCCCTCCTGGGTGGGTAGAGGACATGACCATCACCTGTGTGCCCTCCTGGGCGGGTAGAGGACATGGCTATCACCTGTGTGCCCTCCTGGGTGGGTAGAGGACATGACCATCACCTGTGTCCCCTCCTGGGTGGGTAGAGGACATGACCATCACCTGTGTCCCCTCCTGGGTGGGTAGAGGACAGTGATCATCACCTGTGTCCCCTCCTGGGTGGGTCGAGGACATGACCATCACCTGTGTCCCCTCCTGGGTGGGTAGAGGACAGTGATCATCACCTGTGTGCCCTCCTGGGTGGGTAGAGGACATGACCATCACCTGTGTGCTCTCCTGGGTGGGTCGAGGACATGACCATCACCTGTGTCCCCTCCTGGGTGGGTAGAGGACAGTGATCATCACCTGTGTGCCCTCCTGGGTGGGTAGAGGACATGACCATCACCTGTGTGCCCTCCTGGGCGGGTAGAGGACATGGCTATCACCTGTGTGCCCTCCTGGGCGGGTAGAGGACATGACCATCACCTGTGTCCCCTCCTGGGTGGGTAGAGGACAGTGATCATCACCTGTGTCCCCTCCTGGGTGGGTAGAGGACAGTGATCATCACCTGTGTGCCCTCCTGGGTGGGTAGAGGACATGACCATCACCTGTGTGCCCTCCTGGGTGGGTAGAGGACATGACCATCACCTGTGTGCCCTCCTGGGTGGGTAGAGGACAGTGATCATCACCTGTGTGCCCTCCTGGGTGGGTAGAGGACAGTGATCATCACCTGTGTGCTCTCCTGGGTGGGTAGAGGACAGTGATCATCACCTGTGTGCTCTCCTGGGTGGGTCGAGGACATGACCATCACCTGTGTGCCCTCCTGGGTGGGTAGAGGACAGTGATCATCACCTGTGTGCTCTCCTGGGCGGGTAGAGGACATGACCATCACCTGTGTGCCCTCCTGGGTGGGTAGAGGACATGACCATCACCTGTGTCCCCTCCTGGGAGGGTAGAGGACAGTGATCATCACCTGTGTCCCCTCCTGGGTGGGTAGAGGACATGACCATCACCTGTGTGCCCTCCTGGGTGGGTAGAGGACATGACCATCACCTGTGTCCCCTCCTGGGTGGGTCGAGGACATGATCATCACCTGTGTCCCCTCCTGGGTGGGTAGAGGACATGATCATCACCTGTGTCCCCTCCTGGGTGGGTAGAGGACATGACCATCACCTGTGTGCTCTCCTGGGTGGGTAGAGGACATGACCATCACCTGTGTCCCCTCCTGGGTGGGTAGAGGACATGACCATCACCTGTGTCCCCTCCTGGGTGGGTAGAGGACAGTGATCATCACCTGTGTCCCCTCCTGGGTGGGTCGAGGACATGACCATCACCTGTGTCCCCTCCTGGGTGGGTAGAGGACAGTGATCATCACCTGTGTCCCCTCCTGGGTGGGTAGAGGACATGACCATCACCTGTGTCCCCTCCTGGGTGGGTAGAGGACATGATCATCACCTGTGTCCCCTCCTGGGTGGGTAGAGGACATGATCATCACCTGTGTCCCCTCCTGGGTGGGTAGAGGACATGACCGTCACCTGTGTGCTCTCCTGGGTGGGTAGAGGACAGTGATCATCACCTGTGTCCCCTCCTGGGTGGGTCGAGGACATGACCATCACCTGTGTCCCCTCCTGGGTGGGTAGAGGACATGATCATCACCTGTGTCCCCTCCTGGGTGGGTAGAGGACATGACCGTCACCTGTGTCCCCTCCTGGGTGGGTAGAGGACATGACCATCACCTGTGTCCCCTCCTGGGTGGGTAGAGGACAGTGATCATCACCTGTGTCCCCTCCTGGGTGGGTAGAGGACAGTGATCATCACCTGTGTCCCCTCCTGGGTGGGTAGAGGACATGACCGTCACCTGTGTGCCCTCCTGGGTGGGTAGAGGACATGACCGTCACCTGTGTCCCCTCCTGGGTGGGTAGAGGACATGACCGTCACCTGTGTGCTCTCCTGGGTGGGTAGAGGACATGATCATCACCTGTGTGCTCTCCTGGGTGGGTAGAGGACATGACCGTCACCTGTGTCCCCTCCTGGGTGGGTAGAGGACATGACCATCACCTGTGTCCCCTCCTGGGTGGGTAGAGGACATGACCGTCACCTGTGTCCCCTCCTGGGTGGGTAGAGGACATGACCGTCACCTGTGTCCCCTCCTGGGTGGGTAGAGGACATGACCATCACCCGTGTGCCCTCCTGGGTGGCAGTTTCAGCATGAAGCCACTGGCTGCCCACGCAGCTTATCTCTGACCTGACCCCTCTCCACCTCACCAGGGAAACCTACCAGGAATTTTCCCTCTGGGTGACCAAAGTGGCTCCTAGCAGGCCTTTGGGCCTTTCATTTACTACCTAGAGGCTTACTCGCTAAACAGTGACTAAATGCTGCAGGCAGTGAATATTGCCCAGTGCTAGAGACGGAGGAACGAATGAGATAGGCAAAGCATGCCTTTGTGGTGCTACAATTTTATGCAAGGAAGTAGACATGAAATAACAAATTAATCAGTGTTATGTTAGAAGGCTTCTCCTGGAATGGGGGGTTAGCGTGCCGTGAGTCAGAGTGTTTCCCTAAGAGATTACAACGGTAACCTTGCAGCCCAGATCCAGGGAGGGAATGGCAGTGCCACCCGGACTGCCCTAGGTCCCTTGTCCTGTGGCCGCGTACAGTGGCCCGGCTCCGTGGGGCCTGTGGGTGCACTGGAATCTCTGGAGGAAGTCATCTCTCTGTTCTCATGGGAACAAGTCCATTTCTTACTCCCGCATCTTGTTGCTACAGAGGAGAAGTACACAGTTGTCTACCCGTACGCAGCTCGTGACCAGGATGAGATGAACCTGGAGAGAGGGGCTATGGTGGAAGTCATCCAGAAAAACCTGGAAGGCTGGTGGAAGATCAGGTATCTGCTGCTTTGGGGTCACATAGGGTCCACCTTCCCAGAGATCTCTAAGTACTGCGGAGGGGCAAAGTTTCTGCAAGAGGACATTTCTACCTCTCGGCTGTTCTGGCCTCCTTCTTGGCCCATATCCTTGCCTAAAGTCCATAATAGCAAAGCACAGTACTGTGGGGCAGGAGTGGGTCCTGAGTAAGCGGACACTGCATCTTCTCTGGGTCAGTCACACCTCCCATGGCTCCACCGAGACCCGCTGTGCACCTCACCACTCCACTGCAACCACTGTACCATGCGTATGCTCCTGAGCCTGTGTGTGTGACCAGCCAGACCAGTGAGGTTTGTGCAAGCACACTATGTATGCACAGCAACGGCATTCTCCAACTGCACCTCAGAAAGTATGTCCACTGTATGTGACTCTGATCTTGTCTGGCTACATAGCACTCTAGCCCAACATTTTAGTGGGTATGAAGTTCAGGAGTACTTGATTGAACATGGGGCCTCTTTTTTTTTTTGGTGGGGGGGCGGTCAGGTCGTGGGGCCTGAACTCTGGGCCTGGGCGCTGTCCCTCAGCCCTTCAGCTCAAGGCTAGCGCTCTACCACTTGAGCCACAGCACCACTTCCGGCTTTTTTCTTTTTGCTTATGTGGTGCTGAGGAGTTGAACTCGGCCTCTGGCATGCAAGGCAAGCGCTCTACCACTGAGCCATCTTCCCAGCCTGCTTGGGGCCTCTTTTGAGGCTGTGGTCTGGATGTCAGGGTGGGCTGTACTCCGATGAAGGTTCACCTGAGGCTGGAAAGTGATAAAAACCAGTATCCAAGACTTGACTTCCTCATCCAAGGCCTCTGCTCTGGCATCAGGCCTCCAGTGGTGGCCTGTCTCATGCTAGGCGCACGGATTGCATTAGCCTGAGGTTTTCCAAGTAAGAAAAGATGTATTCCCTCTTACAGGACATTGTAAGATTGGCAAATTTCTGAGATTTCTAATTGGTCTCCACATCTGCGCTTCTAAAGAATCTTTTTTCCCCATTAAAATCCAGACATATTTAGTCTAGTTTTTTGCTTTTAAAATTTTTTGGTGTTGTTCCTGAGACTTGAACTCAAGGCCTGAGCTTCTGTGCTCAAGGCTAGCACTTTACCTCTTGAGCCACAGCTCCACTTTCAGTGTTTTGGTAGATAATTGGAGATGATTCTCATGGATTTTCCTGTCTGGGCTGGCTTTGAACTGTGATACTCAGGCTTCCTCAGTAGCTAAGATTACAGGTGTGACCCACTGGTACCTGGCTCCTGTTTAGTTTTTGAAATGACTCAACAAAATATTTTCCACATAAAGCTTGGTACTCATCTTTCCCCACACGTGTGGAGATGTTTTGAAAGGTGTTGTAAACCAGCTTATTATGAGAAAGATGCTCTGAGTTATGTTTAACAGTTTCCATGGTGTAAATGCTTCCATCGAGCCCAGTCTCAGTCACCAGTGTGGTGTCACCAAGTGTGGAGTTCAGCAGGTGTGTGCACTGTTAGCACATGAGCAGTGTGTGCTGGCTCCTGCACAGCTCTGGACCACACTCACCTCTGGCCGTGCCCATTAAACTGAATTCTGTTGTGCAGAAAATTAGCTGATCATCACACTCACTGAATTCCTTTTGTGGGGGAAAGAGAGCTGGTCTGGCAGGGTCCCTATCATTGCTCAGTCCACTGGCAGTCGCCCCCAAGGAGCCACCAAACGCAGGTTAAGGGATCTGAATCCACCTCTGCCTCAGGCACTGGACATCTCTGTGCCTGAAAGCTGGAGGAGCGGTGGGAGGGAGAGGAGAGCGGGGAGGGAGTGGCACTGGCTAAGATGCCTCTCACACATGGACATGTGGAATGGAAACTCCGTTGTGTGGCCATAGTAAAAAAACAAATTTGAATTCAGATTTGAGTATCTCTTATCTGAAATCCTTGGGACTAGAAGCAGTTGGGTTTTGAATGTTTTTAAATTTTGGAATAGTTGCATATATAAAAGGAGGGCTCTTGGAGATGAGACACCATTCTAGCCATGAAATTCGTTGTTACAGACCTGCCTTGCATATACAGGCGTTTTGGCCACCCCTCCCATAGGATGAGGTGTGGAATTTCCTGGGTGTCACAGTGGTGCTCAGGAACGGGCAGCCTTTGAAGCTTTTGGACCAGGAGCGCTGGGGCTGTGTACAGTCCCTCCCTCCCAAGGCAGGCCATGAAGCGCCTAGGGCAGAGCCAGCACAAGTGCCTTTTCTCCCGATCATTGCTGTTGTTACCCTATGGTGTTGGCTGTCGGGGCAGCCGGTTGCAGGCCCCGTGGCTGCAGCCAGCCGGCACCCGGCGTGTTCACTTGTCCTTTCACTTCTTCTTAAAAAATATCTTTTATTTAAGTAGTTGTACCAAAGAGTTGCCATTCCTCTGGGCACCGGTGGCTCACACCTGTCATCCCAGCTACTCAGGAGGCTGAGATCTGAGGATCACGGTTCAAAGCCAGCCCGGGCAGGAAAGTCCATGAGACTCTTATCTCCAATAAACCACCAGAAAACCGGAAGTGGTGCTGTGGCTTGAGTGGTAGAGCGCTCGCCTTGAGCTAAGAGCACAGGGATAGCGCCCAGGCCCAGAGTTCAAGCCCCACAACTTTAAGAATCCAGTGCATCTTTTCCTTTCATTTCTCCATCATCTCACTGGCAGCCAGGCCACCAGCAGCAAGCTGAACCAGCCACAGTCCCTGCACCAGAATCGCGTACTCTGACTGGGAGACAGGATGGCCACAGCCCAGTGTGGCACTTTATGGACGTTAGGAAGCCATGGGGACAGGGCTTGGGGTCAGGAAGGGCTTGCATGAAGAATCGTGTCAACAAACCCAGGAAGCAAGTTCTCAGCAGGAAGGAGCAGGGAAAGGGCTTTCTGAAGATAGAAGAACACCAAGAGCAGCCTCATGTGTCTGACAAACAGTGGTGCATTTGGGGACCTCAAGCCTGGTAGATGGGTGCTGCAACCAGACAGGAAAGGCCCGAAGTTCAAGCCAGGGGCTCAGGCCCCATCAGAAGGCCGTGGGCCAGCCTCTGGCCCTGGGCATCTGCCATCCAGTGCCTGAGGTGTGACCATCAGCAAGAGCAGATAGCGTGACTGATGTCCTTGCTCCTCCTTCCAGGTTCCAGGGCAAAGAAGGGTGGGCCCCCGCGTCCTATCTAAAGAAGAGCGGAGGAGAGCCCCTGAAGCTGGGTCCTGCCTCTTCCAGTCACTCAGGGACTCTCGACCTGGACGGCGTTGGGCGGCAGCAGACCGCCACGGGCAGGGAGAAGGAGCTGCTCAACAACCAGAGGGATGGCCGCTGCGAAGGCCGCTTGGTGTCTGATGGCGACGTGAAGCAGAGTGAGTACACCACACACACGAGCTCCATCTGCTGGCCTAGGCTTCCACGCCGCCACTCCGGGTACACCATGACACGCCAGTTCCGGCAGCACGTGCATCAGCTTGGTAAAACAAACCCTTAGCCAGGCCCTGGACCATCGCATTCAGCCTTCTGACCTTGAGGCACAGACCAAAGCAGTCCAATTCCAGGGTGAAAAGACCTGAAGTCAGCCGGGCGGTGTTTGGTTCCCCCTCTTTATGTATTATTTACTCTGGGCTTGCTCTAGAGCACAGAGGAAAGCATCACGACATTGATGCCTGCCCGCCGTGAGCCCGGAGCTCCACCGTTGTCACTTCTGTCTGCACTGTTGTCCCTGGAGGCGTGTGCTTTGGCTGCGCTGCCCTGCAGAAGGGTCATGCGGCTTTGTCCCGTGCTGGAGGCCTATGAGTCTAGACCCAGCCATGTGCTTTGTCCCGTGCTGCGAAGCTTTCCACTACTCAAGGCTCCATCCCCTTCTGTTCTGTTTCATTGTCCGTCATGGGGCTTGAACTCAAGGCCTGGGCTAGTGCTCTACCTCTTTGATTAACTGGAGATAAAAGTCTCACAGGAACTTTTTTCCCCAGGTTGGCTTTGAACTATGATCCTCAGATCTCAGCCTCCTGAGTCGCTAGGGTTACATGTGTGAGCCACCGGCAGATGGCTCAGAGAAGCGGTGCATTTTTTGTGCTGGTACTTGAACTCGGGCCCTCACACTCTCACTTGGCTTTTTCTACTCAAGGTTGGTGCTCTACCCCTTGAGCTATACCTCCACCTTCTGTTTCTATGTAGAAAAGATCCAGGAAAGGCCAAGCTGACAGAGGATCCTGAGTTGGGTGAGGAGAGCTTGAGCTGTGCACTGTGGAAGTACATGGCCTCCCTGAATCCACACGCAGGGTTCTGTCTGTGGAGCATTGCTCGAGTATGAAACATATCTTATTTCTCTATAGGATCACCAAAGATGAGGCAGAGACCCCCTCCTCGCCGGGATATGACCATTGTAAGTGTGGCCTTGCTCTGGAAGACTGTCAGGGCTGCCCCCCTTCCAGAGATACTCTTTCCTATGCATACAGTAGCCTTCTGTAGCAGGCTCTCCGTGACAGGTGGGAAAAGGGAGGTCCAGGTGGGGACACATGTCTGTGTTCCACAGTGCACTTTGACATTTCACGCTGGGAACCTACTGCGCTTCCTGAGCTCAGGCCTCTTAGGTTAATCTTCTCAAATGATGCAGATTCTTAGATAAGGTGACAACGTTTTGTATCATCCATCTTTTTTTGTCTTGTTTTTGCTTTTGGTCCTGGGGCTTGAACTCACCACCTAGGGCTGTCCCTCAGCTCTTCAGCTCAAGGCTAGCACTCTACCACTTAAGCCACAGTGCCACTTCTGGCTTTTTTCTTTTTGCTTATGTGGTGCTGAGGAATCGAACCCAGGGCCTCAGGCATGCAAGGCAAGCACTCTACCACTGAGCCACCTTCCCAGCCCTACCCTCCATCTTTTAACTCTCTTGTTGCCTTTCTAACTAATCCAGGCTGGACATCCCTAATCTAAAAGTCCAACACCTGAAACTTCTTTATTTTTTTTTATTGTCAAGGTGATGTACAGAGGGGTTATAGTTACATAAGTGATAAATACATTTCTTGTCAAACTTGTTACCCCTTCCCTTTTTTCTCCAACTTCTCCCTGCCCCACAAATCTGAAACTTCTTGAACACTGATATGATGCCACAAGTGGAAAGTCCCACACTTGACCTCCTCACATGATACGCTGCAGTCATAATACAGATACATTAAAAATGTTGTCTAAAGATATCGCACTACATACATGCATTTATGCATGAAATATGAATGAGTGGCTGGGAAGTTGGCTCAGTGGTGGAGCGCTTGCCTTGCATGCATGAGGCCCTGGGCTCCATTCCTCAGCACCACATAAGCAGAAAAGCTAGAAGTGGCACTGTGGCTCAAGTGGTAGAGCTGAGGGACAGCGCCCAGGCTTAGAGAGAGTTCAGGCTCCATGACCGACAAAAAAGAAAAAGGAAAAAGAAATATGAATAAATGTGTTTAACTCTTGGGCCCACATTTGCATGAGGGCTGCTCACCCTGTCCTTGGAGAAGAGGGCTTCCACGCTTTTACGTTTGCCATTGATTGAGCACCTGTTGGTGCCGTGCTGTACATCAGGTGCATCCCTGTGTTCTCAGCTGATGCTTGGCGACAGGCCTACCAGATCAGCACTGCATTATGCTCAGTGCACAGGACACACAGGCAGGGATTTGCCCAAGATCACATCCACCATCAGTTTGTTCAGTCCAGATTGATTTGCAAATTTGTGTTCTTCTTAAATTCAGACTATTCTTAAAGTCCTCTTAAATTAAGAGACTATTGTCTGGTCCCAAATTTTCATGATGCAGCTAAAAGCCCCATGTTTCTTCTCCCTGCTTTAAAGTTGAAGGGCCAGTTAAATTTCATCTGGGGGACAGCAGCGAGTCACCAGGGCCAGCAGTGGCCTTGTGTATCTCCCCACCCCCAGTCCCTCAGTCCCGTCCTGACTCAGTGTTGCAGTTCCATGGTTAGCCTGGAGTTAGCCCTCTGTATAACCCTACCAGCCTCGAGGTCTCAACCTGCCGAAGCCCCCCATCCCACCCCAGGTGGAAGAAGAGTACTACACCATTGCTGAGTTCCAGACCACCATCCCAGATGGCATTAGCTTCCAGGCTGGCCTGAAGGTCGAGGTGAGTACACCTGCTGTGCCTTGCCTGCTTTCATTCTGTGTGTGTGTGTGTGTGTGTGTGTGTGTGTGTGTGTGTGTCTTGAACTCAGAGGCTAGGCACTGTCCCTGAGATTATTTTGCTCAAGGCTAGCACTCTACCACTTGAGTCACAGCGCCACTTTCGGCTTTCTCTGAATAGTCTATGGAAGATAAGAGTGCCATGGACTTTCTTGCCTGGGCTGGCTTTGAACTGTGATTCTTAGGTCTCAGCATCCTGAGTAGCTGGGGTTACCACCGGCGCTCCTGCTAACTTGATTCTAAATATCATCCCTTACACTGTTATCCCACCTCCTCTGCTTCTGAAAAATAGGAAGAAGTTAGTGGCTTTATTGAGCTGTAATTCACACACTAAACCATTCACCAGTTAGAAACGTGAAATTTAGAGCTTCGTATGTTCACAGAGTTGCATGCCCATTGAGGTTGGAGGTGTAGCTCAGTTGGTAGAGCTCCTGCCAACGAGTGAAAGCATCAATGACCTAGTTCAAGGCCAGGTCTCAGACCTATTTAAAAAAGAATTGTACATCCATCATCACTATCTAATTCCAGGACAGAAAGAAATCCCTAACCCAGTAACAGTTACTCCCTGTTTTTCCACCTCTCCCCTGGCCTTTCCACGGCTGTACACTCGCCTAGTTTAGTTATTTCAAGAAGTGTATAGTATGTAGTCCTTTGTGACTGACTTTGTGTCTTCTGTATCTCCCCCATCTGCTTTCTCCTCTTTTTTCCACTTTTTTTTATTCCTTTGCTTCCCATTCCTTTGCATGTACACTGTAATCCCTGGCTTGTGGCTTCCTTTGGCCTCCTCCCAGGTAATTGAGAAGAGCTTGAGTGGCTGGTGGTACATTCAGATGGAAGATAAGGAAGGGTGGGCGCCGGCAACCTTCATTGACAAGTACAAAAAGACCAGCAATGCCTCCAGACCCAACTTTTTGGCGCCCCTGCCCCATGAGATGACCCAGCTTCGGCTCGGGGATGCAGCAGGGATGGAGCATAGCACGAGCAATGAAGTTCTGGGCCCCTCCAGGCCCCTCCCAGAGGCACCACATGGTACTGTGGACTCCGGTATGATGTGGTCCAGAGACTGGAAGGGAGGGAAGGAGGCCCCGAGAAAGGCATCCTCAGACATGTCTGCCTCTGCAGGCTATGAGGAAATCTCAGACCCGGACCTGGAGGAAAAGCCTAGCCTCCCTCCTCGAAAGGAGTCTATCATCAAGTCAGAAGGAGCACTGCTGGAGAGGGAGCGGCCGAGGGTCGAGCAGCACTGGGCTTCCTCACCCAAGCCTCCCGGCTCAGTTTTGCCAATGACTCCATCCAAGCACAGCCCTCCAGCCCGGGACAGCAGGAAGCCAGAGCCCAAACCTGATAAAAGCAAGTTGTTCCAGCTGAAAAATGACTTGGGGCTCGAGTGCGGCCACAAGGTTTTGGCCAAGGAGGTAAAGAAGCCCAACCTCCGGCCCATCTCCAAAGCCAAGGCCGAGGCGCCCGAGGAAAAGCCAGGAGCCGCCCCCCAAAACCCATTCCTGAAGTCCAGACCTCAAGTCAGGCCCAAACCATCTCCTTCCCCTAGGACAGAGCCAGCTCAGGGTGAAGACCAAGTGGATATCTGCAACCTCAGGAGGAAGCTCAGGCCCGCCAAGTCCCCAGAGAAGGATGGGGAAAACCACCAGGCTGCGAGGGGCCAAGACACAGCCCTGAGCCAAGGCTTCCTCCCCGGGGAGGGACCTGCCCATGCCCAGGACCGGTCTGGCAGACAGGAGGGGCTCAGCCCCAAAGAGATGTCCTGCAGAGCCCCACCAAGGCCAACCAAGAGTGCGGATCCTGGGCCCAAGAACGTACCCATGCCTCTCCAAGAAGCTACCCAGCAAAGACCTGCGGTCCCACCCAGGAGGCCACCTCCCCCCAAAAGCATAGCATCGTCATCCTCCAGGGCCTCCCCTGAGGTCAGACCACAGCATGAAGGCCATGAAAACAGGGCTGCTCCTACTCCAGGCCGCCCCCTCTTGGTTCCGCCCAAAGCCAAACCTTTTCTCTCTAACTATTCTGTGAGCCAAGATGACATACGAGGCAAAGGTGGCCCAGGACCACGTACAGCCAGCAAGATGGGGGAAAACAGGAAGGGAGGACCCGCAGCCTCCTTCCCCAAAACCGAGGGCTTGAAAGACACTTTATATGTGGCTGTGGCCAACTTTGAAGGAGATGAAGATACCAGCAGCTTCCAGGAAGGGACGGTGTTTGAAGTCCGGGAGAAGAACAGCAGCGGCTGGTGGTTTTGCCATGTTGTCAGTGGGGCCCCTTCCTGGGAAGGCTGGATTCCTTCCAACTACCTCAGGAAGAAGCCCTAGCCTGCCCCTCCCTGCGTGGCCACACTGTCCCTGCGGGCCTACCCCGCATACTTAACAATCATACTTTACTAGGCTCCATGAATTTCAAAGGACGGGTGCCCAGTAGGGCTGGCTTCTTCCCTCCCGTGACGGAGTGAGTGGCTGGGATGGCAGGGGCTCTGAGTCTGACCCCCACCGTCCCGGCAATCCCCGGGACTCATAGGCCACAGCTGACGAGATGGAAATCCACACTGGCTCCTTGCCTTAACAAGAAAATGCTTACTCCACTCAGTGGCACTGCCCCCTGGCAGTGGGACAGAGACTTCTCAGACTCCAGGGCCCAGACCTGGCAACTAAAGAAACGCTGGGAAGTCTCTTGTTGCTTAGAGGCAAATGGTAAGAGGTAGTGCCCCCAGTCTGTGGTGACTGGCTCCAGCAGCTCCCTGTGCCTCCAGGCCTGTGGCTGTATTCAGTTTCCAAAATTCCTACCATAGGGAGAACTGTCTATTGAAGCTGACTCCGTTGCCAATCTTCAGAAAGTGTCTTCTTCAAGCCCTGGGGGCCTTCGGCGTCTGAGGCCTCACCACATGCAGCGACCCTTGAAGTGGCTCTGGAGAGCATTTCAGCTCCCGTCTTCTGCCTTGGGACTGTGACTCATCCCCACGATGTGGCCCCACCCCGGAGCATGCTTCACTCTCCTGCTGCAGACTCTGGTCCAACCAGGGCTTTTAAAATGAGAATTCCTGCACCCTCTTTGGGGCTTCTCATTTTTGTCTACCTGGAATCAGAGTCTCCACGCTTGTTTGAAGAAGGGAGCATTTGAAAGGCACATGACTCACGAGCACCCCTTTGCTGAGTAGCTAGTTGGTGCCAAAACTGTTCTTGGCACTTTGCATTCATGGTTTACCCTCGCAACTTCCTTGTAATATTATAGCCATTTTCTGGTTAGGAAACCGAGGCTCAGTGTGCCCAAGAAGACAATGGAGAAGAAAGGAGGAGCGAGGGTTGAGGCCTGCCTAACCCCAGGGTCTGTGGTCTTCCCTCTGTGAGAGGCAAATCAGTCAGGGAAGAAACTAGGCCTGAGGAGCAAGTGGCCAAGTAGCTTCTTTGTGATGTGAGTGGTGATGCTCATGGCTGCTCCTTCCTCCTCTCTCCCAGCCATTCCTGGACTCCCAGTTGCTTCTCCAGGGCAGGGGATGGCCCTGGTTCTGGAGGAACAGAGCTCTGTGCTCTGCTTCTTTGCTGGTGTCCTCTGGGGGATGGTGCATGTCGGGCAAAGGGAGCGGGGGGTCTCCTGCTGGCTGAGCAACGGTGGCTCTGTGAGTCGACGGGCTTCCTGCTCCACTCTGCCCCGTTAGGGTGGTGGAACCTAAGCCAACCACTTCACATGTTTTACTGGATAGGGCTGAGGCCTGAGTAAGCCCCAGAGTCAGCCAGGACCCAGGTCTAACACTCAGATCACAACTGAGGCCTGAGGACGTCCCCAGAATCAGCCAGGACCCAGGTCTAACACTCAGCTCACAACTGAGGACGTCCCCAGAGTCAGCCAGGACCCAGGTCTAACACTCAGCTCACAACTGAGGCCTGAGTAAGCCCCAGAGTCAGCCAGGACCCAGGTCTAACACTCAGCTCACAACTGAGGCCTAAGTAAGCCCCAGAGTCAGCCAGGACCCAGGTCTAACACTCAGCTCACAACTGAGGCCTGAGTAAGCCCCAGAGTCAGCCAGGACCCAGGTCTAACACTCAGCTCACAACTGAGGCCTGAGGACGTCCCCAGAATCAGCCAGGACCCAGGTCTAACACTCAGCTCGGACTGCTTCAGCCTATAACCTGGCTACAGAAGAGGAGACAGCTCTGCCCTGCTAGCCTGCCCCCAGAGAGGTCCACGTCAGTGCTTTTAAAACCACAAAGCCAGCTTTCCATGGATGCCTGCATCTACATAGAGTGCCAAAAGTTTTGTTCCTCCCCTGGCCCCTGCCACAGGCTCTGGAAGCTTCTTCAAGGAAAGGGATTTCCTCTGGCCAAAGTAACATGTGTCGCTTCCTCCTTTGCTGAGCCTGCAGGTCCACACCTAGGTTGTCTTGGGACACTGCAGGAGTGTGGGCGATGGTGTCTTTGGAGAGTCTCTCCAACACCCCTGACTCGGGATGTTGTCCTGACTTTTTAACCTACTAGGGTTTAAGAAGTGTCTGTAAAGCTGTTTTGCAGGGTTTAACTACTTTTCAAAAGACAAAACTGTTTCTGGTTTGCTTTTGGCTTTCCATGACCTTTTCAGATATTTTGTGAGTGCTGACCATGTGCTAGGCACTGGGTAGGCAGTGGTGTGGTAAAGAATTTAAGTGTTTCTGCTGGCTCTACCAAAGGAGAGTCCCTGTCCATTTCCTTCTTCTCCCAAAGATGAAGACAGGGAGGATGCGTAAGCTTACCTTCCTGTGGCCACAATGCTTTCCTGAAGCTGAAGGAATGCCTTTTCTTCTGTTATTATTCTGGCATGACTGATAGGTACAGGAGAAACATTCCTTCCTGTTGTTGGGGAGAATTCCTGTGTCTGGCTCCATCTACTTTAACTGTATTTTTTTGTCTTTTTTCTTTTTTGGTACTGGGGATCGAACCCAGGACGTTGTACTTGCTAGGCAAGCGCTTTGCCACTGAGCTACATCCCAGCCCTCCATCTACTTTAGAGGTTTATTTAAGTTACAACATCCACACTTGTTGTTGCTGGTCTTGGAGCAATGATAGGCATAATTCCTGACAGGTTCCTGAACTTGGAAAATATCCACGGCTCTAGAAGCGCTGTCCATACCAAATACCGGACAAGTTACAAGCCTTGAATACACTACTGCCCTCAGCTAGTCTTCACAGCAGCCCTGGGGGTGACTAGTATTGGCCCTTAAGTGTGGCCTAGTGCAGAGTAGCTGAGTCTCTTTTTCCCAAACAGTGGCCATGCCAAGACAAAAATCCAGAATAAAAGGAAGTGGCGCTGTGGCTCAAGCGTTAGAGCGCTCGCCTTGAGCTGAAGAGCGCAAGGACAGTGCCCAAGCCCAGAGTTCAAGCCCCATGACTGACAAAAAAAAAAGAAAAAATCCAGAATATTTTTCTCCCTCCCTCATATCCATGAGCTTTCCTAGTGCCATCGGCAGAGAGTGTGTGTGGAGCCCCCAAGGGGGTCGCCTGACCCAGCTGGCCCTGTCCACCCTTTGGGCAAACGTTTCAGCAGGGTGCAGGCCAAGCCGTGGTCCAAAGAATGGGCAAAGTGTGACTCTCTCTCCCGCTCACCACCTTATCGTGGCACTGTCTCTTACCCAAGAACAAATGCACAGCTTGTAGAGCCACAGCGTTTTTGGAATATCAGAATATGAGAACCACCATTTGGGCTTTGCACAAATTTTTGCTCAGAATCACTCTGCCAACAGTGAGTTTATGTTATTGTTCCAGGCTGAGATTTGAGGAGCTGAGCTCCAGCTAGAACACATTTACTTCCCCACCTAGGAGCTTGTTAGAGCCCATACTAGGCTCTTGATACTCCTTTTAAGCTTCTGACACAAGACTGACCCATAGACTTGATGTCTAGGGAAAACTTCCTGGCCTTATACCGTCTCTGACCCTACTGGGAATTTCGGTATTGGTAGAAAGTGGGAGGACATACTGCCACATCAAAGCATAAGTGCTGAATCTCGATGACCCAGGACAGACTTTGGGCTGAAGAGTAGAGACTAGTCCTTATTGCCAAGTGCCTGGCTCTGACTGTAATAAGAAATATAAACTGTTCCTGACTCCAGTTTTTGGTAACTTGACATCATGAGGAACAAGGCTAGCTAGGGTAACTCAGTTGTAAAGCTCTTGCCCAGCAAGTGCTAGGCCCCTGCTTCTATCCCTAGCACTGAAGGTAAGGGATGGAAAGTGCTGGTTAGGCTGCCCACTCACAGGCTTGCCCTTCTCTTTGGACTGTGGCAGTGGTACTAATACCCTGAGCTGTGTGTGGCAGTCTCATCTTCCTTTCTGGTTGTCCGAACTCATTCTTTGAACTTGAATGGGTGGGAAATCAGCTTACATTGAGGCCTAAGGGTGCAGGCACCCTGTCTTGGCCAGGAGGAATCCATCCTAACTCGGGTAAGGTTCTAATAGCTAGACTAATCCCAAACAGAGCTGGAGTGTAGATGGGGGCTCCAAGCTCCTCACCTGCCATAGACCAAAGACTGTACTGCCCAGCTCCTAGGGGTGCTGTCTGGTTTCTGGTGCTATCTTGCTAAGGTACCAAGCCCATCATCCTATGTTTTGTGTTGTTTATCAGTCCTGGGACTTGAACTCAGGGCCTAGTACGGTCCCTGAGCTTTTGTGCTCAAGGCTAGCACTCTTCTGCTTTGAGCCACAGCTCCACTTCTGGTTTTTAGGTAGTTAATTGGAATAAGAGTCTCATGGACTTTCTTGCCCAGGTTAGGTTTGAACCATGATCCTCAGATCTCAGCCTCCTGGGTAGCTAGGATGACAGGTGTGAGCCATCAGCACCCAGCCCTTCATCACATTTTAACATTCCATCTATTCCAGAGTACAGCTCCTTAGCCCCAGTGAGAGATGAGGGCTCAACTTCTTGAAAAGATCCAAGTGCCATTGCCAGTGGCCTTTACTTTCACATCTTCTACATGCTTTTTTAAGGTGCCCCTACCAGGCTTACTACAGCAATAAGCAGTTCTAATGCAACAAAGGTGTACATATTTTATCCAAGCGTATGCCTGTTGATGCCTCTTTTCCTTATAGGAGTCATGAAAAACTACAGTCACCTTAGCCCTAAGCCACATTTTCTGCTCCAGGGACTGAGCTGAATGCCTGGAACCTTTTTTTATACCCCTCCAGGAACAGTAGTCTCTGAAGGGCATTGTCTCCCTCCTGTCTATCCATAGGATAGGGTTAGGGTCCCTGGTATTTCAGCCCGTCTCTTTCCCTCTCAGTAAACTGACAGCTTCTGGTAGTGGGTTTTGATTCCTTTCAACAGAGAAAACACAGTGTGTAATAGGAGGAGGAGAAGGGCAGATGACTGACTGTAACATGTAGAGATGATATACTTTAGTGTTAGACATTTTCTTTTTTAAAAAATAAAGTGCTTGACTGGTTTCAAGCTTTGTTGTGAAGCTAGAGTGTCTGTGGATTTTATTTGGCTGAAGACAAGGTACATATAGCTTCATTCCCTGGCATCGTGGTCTTAGTCTTTGCAATCAAAGAAAAGAAACCAATGCAAGCTATGCTTAGATGCTGCCTAGAAATGATAACTCTTCGGTGGACTCCTAGGGCAGTCTCATTCTGACAGCTAAAATGTGCCAAAACCAAGAGCAAAAAATACTTACTTGCTACATCTTCTTCACATATTTTAGCTCTGAGCCTGAAGACAGAAAACTTCATGAGTCTAAGGAGTGGCAAGGCTCTTGGGAGGCAGTAAGACATTTGGCTTCACTGGGCCCCAAGGACGCCCAAGCCAGCTGCACCAAGGAGGAGGGGGAGAGCATAGTCTGATGTGTATTACTTCTCCAAAAGCAGATCCAAAGCAAGAATCAACCTCAACCTCAGGCGAATCTTTACAAAGTACCACCTTCTCACTGCAGAGCTCCCGAACAACTTCAGAGGGAGGGTTCACCTACAGTTGATTCACACACACCCTTTCCAGGAAACACTGTAGAGGAACATGAAGTGGCAGACCTTGCTTAGAATAATAGTCAATGAATTCATCTCTGTGTCCTTAAGAAGGAAGAAAACCTGGCACCAGCCCCCCGAGGGGTCTTTTATTTATTTTATTTTTTTTTTTTTTTGTCGGTCGTGGGGCCTGAACTCTGGGCCTGGGCGCTGTCCCTCAGCTCTTCAGCTCAAGGCCAGTGCTCTACCACTTGAGCTACAGTGCCACTTCCAGTTTTCTGGTGGTTTATTGGAGATAGGAGTCTCACGGTCTCTCCTGCTCGAGCTGGCTTTGAACCGCAATCCTCAGATCTCAGCCTCCTTAGTAGCTAGGATTACAGGCGTGAGCCACCAGCACCCGGCTTGTGGGGTCTTGTTCATTCTGGTTCTTCCAAACCACTACTTAAATTATGATTGCAGGTCGGGGGTGGGTTAAGCTCCCCAGGGTGAGGGTGAAGGGTAAAGACTGAAGTGTGGTCATAGCCAGAACTCCCAACTTCCCCTCAGGGCTGTGTGCTGGACACCAGGGGCCGCTGAGGCTCCCGCTCCTCCTCTTCAGGAGAGCTTTGCCCTGCGGGCCCGGCTGCCTGCCCTCCCAGTGCCGTCCTAGGGGGTCACTCATGATGAACCACATCATGGGACCATTCTTTCCCACTCTGGGTCCCTAATACCTGTTCCTTCTCTACTTCGGTATAATTTGAGTATTTTTAAGTGGTAACATGAAGAATTTGCATTTAGCAGTGTTCTCTAGCCCATACTCTGAAAGCCACTCATGGGATTCCTGTTTCAACTAAATTGTAACCACAGATAGGTAGTGTATTTAACAATGCCTGCTGTTAGCCAGGCAGAATGAAGTGGGCTTCCTGGAACATGGGGAGACAGGGCTTATGGGCACCTAGAAGTCTCCCAAAAGTAGTCTAAATGCAGTAAGGGCCTGTCCCCCGGGTTCCTCTACAGGGGACATAACTCAGCTCTGGCTTCATCCCGGCTGTCATGAGGATGTGGAATTCCTGCCAGGTAGGTTGAGAGGTAAGGGTTTCTGGTTCACTGGTGCTTGCTTGTGGAGGCAGCATACACACTAAGCTCTCCTGCCTAACCCATTGATAGAAAATGCCTACCACGTTCCTGCTGCTGAAGGGCTTTAGGTACTCTAAACCAGCCATGGGCCGGGGTTCCTGCCCTACCCAGACAGAAACTGGGTAATCAATCGCATTCTTTCAGCTTTCCTAGGTCGGCCCTTGGAAATACTTGCAGATCACACCGGGCAACAGCAGTCAGACCTGGTGTCTTGGCAGAGAGGGCAGCAGCATGGAGTTTCAGCCCAGGGCCCTGAGAGGCAGGAGATGGAGGCCTGTGTTCCAAGGCCTGTGACCCCAGCCAGCTGCCATCCGGTTGCTTTCTCGCCTGCTGCCTGCCTCCCTGCTGCTCTGGCCAGTTTTGCTCAGCAGCCCAGCTTGCCACACTTAGTGCTGCTAGGGCAGATAGTTTTCCCCTGCCACTGCAGCTGCTTTTTCTTCATGTTACTGGCTCAGCAAAGGTGGGCGCGAATGCTTTAGAAAAAAAGCCTTGATTGGGATCTGATGTAGCACTCAGGTGAGAGCAGGGGCAGCAAGGAGTGTATCTCCAACTGCTCACAGGGAGAAGAGCAGCTTGTACACAACAGCAGGGGAAAGAGCAGGTGTCTACACCCATCAAGGTACCGCATTATGCTAATGAAGGAGAGAGCAGGTGTCTACACCCATCAAGGTACCGCATTATGCTAATGAAGGGGAGAGAGCAGGTGTCTACACCCATCAAGGTACAGCATTATGCTAATGAAGGGGAGAGAGCAGGTGTCTACACCCATCAAGGTACAGCATTATGCTAATGAAGGAGAGAGCAGGTGTCTACACCCATCAAGGTACAGCATTATGCTAATGAAGGAGAAAGCAGGTGTCTACACCCATCAAGGTACAGCATTATGCTAATGAAGGAGAGAGCAGGTGTCTACACCCATCAAGGTACAGCATTATGCTAATGAAGGAGAGAGCAGGTGTCTACACCCATCAAGGTACAGCATTATGCTAATGAAGGGCTGAGTGTGAACCAATAACAAGTCTTCAGTTGAACCACTTGCATAATGTAGAAGTGGCAGTTGGTCTTCTGTTGAGCTGAGACTGGGACCAGCTGCTTGCTGGGTCTGTACCTCCTAGAGCTGAAGTTACTGGAAGGTTATCTGGTTGGTGACCTTTCCTGAGGTCACCTAAGGTGCTAGAAAAGGGTCTAACAACTGCCAGGAAGTTAGGGCTCCCTAGCCTCAAAGATGTCAGCATAGTTTTAGAGAGAGGGAAAAGAAAACCTTCAAAAGGGTGCTTACAACAAGAATTTATCAACACTTTAA